AAATTAGTTTTCATAAATATATCAACATCAGGAATATTATCCGATTTTGCTTTTATAAATCCTTTATCACACATAGTTAGTGGAAATAAACTTTTCAAATCGTTTTTCACTAATAAATTTGAGATATTTTTATCAAGTTAAAGATTATAGCCATAAACACTGTACTATTATGAAATTGCTTTAACATTATGACGTCACGAGTATGCTGACCAATCAAGGCGCGTTTACAGTCACGTGATATATTTTTGAATTTTATCGATTTTTAATTGTTTATATTTAATTTAAAAAAAAAATATTTCAAGTTTTTTGCTTTAAAAATCCAATATAATTAATAATAAAGTTTTAAAATACATAAAAAAAATCAATACTTTTTTTTTTTTCAAAAACCCAATTGTGCAATAAAATGCTAAATATGCCCTATATCATTTTGAAAAGAGGATAATCTTGTACTGATGGACCAAAATTAACAAAAGACAGCTAAAAACTATAAGGAAACTAGTTTTCAAATGAATAAAACAAGAGAAAAGAAATGTTATTTCAAAAAGAAATATTTAAATAGACAGCCACAGGTACCAATACGTATATATTCATGAAATAAAATAACTCCTAACATACTCAAATTGTGGAAATATTTATATTCACATAAATTTCTGAATACACACTGTATTTGATCATGTTTTTGAAACATACATATTTTAGACATAGCTATTCATTAGACTTATATAAAATCGTTTAACACTACAAAACGAACATGTTATTAGAAGATTAATATAAACTATTATGCTTTTTTTATCAAAAGGTCTTAAGTACTTGGAAATAGATTATAGTGTGGGTGCCCCTTACAAAGTATTGAACACTCTACCTACTGAAAAATACTGAAAGATATAAACTAAAATTCTTAACTGGCTCTTATGAGAAGACCAGGAAGGTGGCGCTAAGGTTCTTGGTGTTGTGCCGTTGTGAATACACATCTGAGTCTGTTTTTTTTGTTAGTTGAGAATTTTCATGTTGGTTATTTAATGAACACCGTTCACTAGAAGATATTTTCAAAGTTTTTATAGGGAATGTCGTAATGTTTACATATTTACATTTAGATATATTTATTTATCACTATTAAGCAAGTTCTAGAAGATATTTTCAATAACTTTAATAAAAAGGCAGTGCCGTAATAAAGTTTAAGGGCAAGTTTCAACGATGACTAAGTTACAAACGGGAATAATTAGAATTACCTGGAACGGAATCTTAGAATGCTTGCAAGTGACTAGTGCTAATACCGGGCAGGCCCTTTATGACCCATATTTTCAGGTATTGAGACAAGTACTAAAGATCTGATGAACTGTGAAGAATACCAGAACAGACATCCCGACGAATCAAGAGAAATACAAATAACTCCATTTCAGCGCCTCCAACACATTCGACTTTGTAGAAAAATCATACATTTAGACAACGTTTACAAGTTCAGATGTTTATTGTCATTATTGATAACACACTGTCTGGCTTAAACGCATGAAAGCATTTCATAAGATTACAAGTGTTTTTGAAGTACTTCGAAAACTAAAATCTCTTATGATAGAAGAGATTTTGGAAAAATTCTCAAGTATGGGCAGTACTTACGAAGATGATTTTGAGAACAGCCTAGGTAACGAAAAAGCGCAGTTCTGAGAGCTATTAGAAACAGATAGGGCTATTGTTTTTCACTTCAAAAAAACAAAATTCTATGGAACAGCAATTTTATAAAGTTTTATCAAATAATTATTTAGGATCTTAGACATCGCCTTGCCTATTTACTTTTCTCTCACGATCTCTTACTGTGATGGCAAATGTTATTTTTAAATATAAAAATGTATAAAAAATTAATTCAGTAACATGTTTTATTCCATTTAAAACCTTAAAATTGTGAACCTAAAGATTGATTAACGGAATATGCTTCAGACCCCGTGCTGGGTTAATCCGGCACTTGAAGTTGTCCTCTTTCTGACACCGTTAGCCGTCTAAGTGAAATTAAATCTCTACCCAACATATTCTTAGTTTAAGTTCAATTCAATACTGTATTTTTTAACGTTTTATTTATAGCGATATATCTTTTTGTTAAAAACAAGAACTGTGCATGATACATACAATTTTTGTTGCATTAGTTTTTTTAAATTTATTTACTTAAAGTATATTAAAAGTCTAAAGTCATAATGAAGTTTGACGACGTCATATAAGTTATTATTTTATAAAGAGGGGAATTTTAAACATTTTACGAATATATTGATATCGACGAAATAGTAAGTGCTTATTTGTCATATTAAATTGTCAGTGAACATTTTTTAGATTATTTCGAGATAAACAACATGAAAAGTAAATCCCTTGTATCAAAGTATTAAATGTAAGTAAGTACTTCTGAATTGTTCTTATTTCAATATTAATCATTTTCAAACGATAGATTTTACATATTTACATTTCTTAATAAGAAAGCTGAACGCACAATTAACATGACAGATAAAAAACTGCCGTAGAAGAAAAATTTAATCCAACACACTCTGCATTCATAAGAATATTAAAAAAAAATTGACTTTATACATTGACATAAACGTTATTTTTATGTGCTTACTCCCTGTAATTTCTACATCAATGTTTAAAAACCTCACTTTTGACGTCCTTCGTTAATTTTTTTTTATCTTACCCACATTATCTGAAGAGCCTCGACTAGTGCCTTGTGTGTATAATGTTTGAATAACAAATAATTTTCAATAATGTTTGTTAGTTGGTTTCATTATCTAGGAATCGGAAAACGTTTTTTTTTTCAATATTTCATTCTTAGATATTGGTTTTGTTTTGTTCAATATTAATTTGTATAAGTAGAGATACAAAACGTGCAGTAAAGGATTGTCAATATCATCGATTATCTCTCTGTAGAAGACAATTAGTGACGGACTTTATATGTACTCGTATGTACGCATATTGTAGATTTGACCATTCTATACGGAACCTTAAATAATTGGCCACACTGGTGAACTACTTTCTTTATTTTATTTATAGCAATATTATATCTAATCTATCACATATAAACGTGATGATATTCTCAAGATGATAACCACCACGAATCTTTATCCGCTTCACATGTATAAATAGTGTTAATTTATTGTATTATGAGGTCAGTTAACAATTTCACTTCCATAATGGAACTTTTGTTCATTTTAGCGTATGTATTATTTAATTTTTAATAATATATTTAATTTAAAATTATTTAAATAAGCAGTTATACTTACACACCCGTTTTAAAGTCCAGGAATATTTATAAACATCCCTTACCCTAATACATTTTACTAAATCTTATTCACAGGTCAATATTTTTACCTTACGCTGCTTTTGTGGAATGCAGTTCGATAAGTAGTAATAGAAAATTTCCGGATGGATTTCTCTTTGGAACGGCGACAGCCTCGTATCAAGTTGAAGGTGCCTGGGACGTAGATGGTAAATTGAACGATAATTTTTAGTTTTTTTTTAAATATTCAATCTAATAATGCTTACTAAGCAAAATTTATAAATTATAACACATAATTTTATTTTTTGTACACTATCATTTTAATTTATATTAAACAGGGAAATATTATGTTTTGACTAATTTTAATTTTTATGAGAAATAAAACTTTTACAAGCATGAAGTCAAAATAAATATTGTATATCTATTTTTTTAAGGAAAATCGGAAAATATCTGGGACCATTTAACTCATACTAATCCTTGCAAAGTCCTGGACTGTTCAAATGGTGATGTCGCTGATAACTCTTATTATCTTTATAAAAGAGATGTGGAGATGATGCGAGAGTTAGGACTCGACTCTTACAGGTTTTCTATCTCTTGGTCTAGACTCCTTCCTACTGGTTTTCCAAATTACATCAATGAAGCTGGAGTAGGATATTACAACAACTTAATTGATGAAATGCTAAAATATAACATTCAGCCGATAATAACTTTATACCATTGGGATCTACCTCAAAAATTACAAGACATGGGAGGCTGGACAAATAATGAAATTGTTAATTGGTTTGGGGACTACGCTCGAGTTATATTTCAACTTTTTGGTGATAGAGTAAAATATTTTATCACTATTAATGAACCTCATCAAGTTTGCCATCTTGGATATGGCAATGAACATCTGGCGCCAGCATTAAATATACAAGGCATCGCTGACTACTTATGTGTGAAGAATCTACTGTTGGCTCACGCTAGAGCTTATCATATTTATGATGAAGAATTTAGAGGGAAACAAAGTGGAAAAATATTCATTACCATAAACGCCGAAGGCCATGAACCAGAAACAATAAATGACGAGGAAGCGGCCCGGGATGCTAGACAATTTCAAGTAAGCCAATTGAATATTATTTAAATTGTCTTCCTTTTTTTATTTCTTAATTAATTTTTTGGCTTAAATTTTAATTCAATTAATGTAAATTTCTCAAAAGATAGAGTTTAATTTTATACAAAAAAGTGAGTTGGACTTCTTCAAAAAATAATTTCGCATAGAAATCGTTTATTGACTTTGTAAAACATCTCTTCTTCTTCTACCTGGCAATTTCCCAGTTTTAGTAAGGGTCTGCCTTACATGTTGTGAATAGTTTTTGTCTGATCGTTTGTAGGACCGGCCGCCTGTTTGACATCAACCCTCTTTGGGAATCAGTGATGTCTAAATACTCTTAGAAAGTACATATGACTCGGAAAAATCACATTGGTAATCTCTGTTTTCTCTGAATTTCAGTGGGGGGTATATGCTCATCCAATATTCTCAAAAATGGGAAATTACCCATCAGAAATGATAAAGAGGATAGCAGATAAAAGTGCAGCACAAGGTTTCCTCAGATCCAGATTGCCAGAATTAACTAGCGAAGAAATTAAATTTATACGAGGAACCTCGGACTTTTTTGGACTGAATCATTATTCAACCAGTTTTGTTTATAGAAATGAGAGTTCATCTGTAATTTCTCCTGTACCTTCTTACAATGACGACCTTGATGTTATGCAATATAAATTACCTGAATGGAAAATTGGTGAATCAGATATGACGAAGGTATTTTTAATAACATTATTATCATATAAAAATATAATTTGCTAATATAATTTCATTATTAATGCCAAAAAACGTCATGATGATAAATTAACTCGACATCAAACGTTTCTTTGCTTTTGGACGTGTAACAATTACAAGCACCGTTTATAGTTACATATCATATATATTTCAGTTTGTTCCATGGGGCTTTCGTTCACTACTAAACAGAATCAGCCAACTATATGAAAATCCTCCTATATTGATTACTGAAAATGGATTTGCAACCAATGGTGGTATCGAAGACGATGACAGGATAACATATTACAGAGGTTATTTAAACGCCCTCCTAGATGCTATTGACGACGGCGTTGATGTACGAGGTTATACGGCCTGGAGTCTCATGGATAATTTTGAGTGGTTAAAAGGATACACGTAAGTAAATGTTAAAAAATATGAATTAAATTTATAGATACGCTATAAGTTCAGAGATATATAAAACGTTTCGGATAACTTTATCATGATTGACGAATTTCTCTCTTTTGTTTTGACAGCGAACGCTTCGGTCTGTATGAAGTTGACTACAACGACCCAAACCGTACTCGCACGCCTCGCAAGTCTGCTTATGTACTGAAGGAAATAATGAGGACACGATCCATTGATCCCAACTATGAACCTGACATGAACCAACCTCTGACTATTGATGATGGACACTAAATAATGACGATATCAAAAATACACATTTTGTTATTTTGAACTTTTTTCTCAATAAATGTTGTAAATTTTTTATGACTTATTTTTATTTAATTTTAATTATATTTCAATTTATAATCGAAATACGTAAATAGTTCTAGGGATATTAAAAAAAAATATATAAAATTTTTCAATACGAGAGGTCATTCTAAATTCTTCAGAAATATGATCACTCTTTTGAATGGATCAACAAATTTATCTGACTGTGAACACTGCAACAAATTTCGATACTTTATTTCCTATAAAAAATCCCTACAATTGTATTAATAACTAGCTGCCCGGACAATCTGGTACAATCAAATGTTAATAGTAAAAATTAAATAAATGACATGTTTTTCTTATGATCTTATTCATGTATTAACAAGATAGTGTATCTTATTCACAAAAATAGGTTTTTAATTGTAGTAACAAAAATAGGGTTTTAATTGTTGTTGTAATAGGCTGCTTGTTATCCTGATCCTAAATCTCTATCCCAAAATAAAACGTTGTCACTCGTGCTACTAGTGCGCGGTGAGCGGGGCTCGGGCAGAAGGGAATGGGAGACGAAACTAACGATGTCTGAATGTGAACAAACTTTGTATTAAATTTCTCTTTGTAACTTTAAATTAAAGCCAAAAGTTGCACCTTGTATTCAAAAACCAAAACTTAACCAAACCAACACAAAAAGAAGTCGTGTTACCTTAAAAGTTGGGATGAAATTTTTACAAATTATATTTATTGTCCTAAAGGAAGTAATATTATAATTAATACTTTTTGTTACATTTTTGAATGTTTGTTAGGAAGTGTATAAAATAAGTTCCAATTCCTTAAACCAACAAGTAGAAAATATTTTTGGCGGTGGAACCAATCGCACAGATTTCACTTTTATATCCTTGCCACATTACCCATTTGCTTAATTTTCATTTTTCAATGCCTTACAATAGTGGCAGACCGATTTCATAGGTTCAATAACAACGCATTCATAGCAACTGTAGTCAATTGGAACATCGTAACTGAAAGCCGCTAGAGAAAAATTTTAAATAGTACAAAGATTACGTGTTGCACGTACACTAATCCTTTTTCATTTTGCTCTTCACGTCCTTCTATAGCCCGGTTATATGGAAAATTTGCTAGGTTTATAGTATTTCGAGTTCTTCGACCCAAATGACTGTGCTTAAGTTTTGGAAACATGGGTCTAAACATAATCCCACGAAACACACAATTGCTTTTAAAAAGAAGTGAAACAATGCAAAAAAACACAGGAATGGCAATACACAAATGAATTAATTTTATTTTTAATCACACTATCACTATTAATTGATAAAAGGTGAAATTAATATATGGGAGTTCATGTTAGGATTTTTATTCTATTGGTATAAAGGTCCAATAAAGCTAAAAGAATGATAGTGGGAACTTTTGCAATTATCATTTCCCTCGGGACAAGCTAATTCTTAGAAGATGAATTCCTGAGCACAGAGGTATATGTCCCCCACTGGTCATCATGTAGTAGTAGAGTAGATGTGGAATAAAAGGTCTGAAAAAGTAAATCCTTGAACCTACCCAAAAAAGACAAGAATCCCTTAAGTAATATAACGTGTGTATGAAAGCTTAGATATCAGCAGAGCAGAAATCTAGGAAAATTTGAAAACATTGCTGAATACAAATAACTTTATTTATTAAATAAAGATAAATATTCTTGACGTCACTCGAGAGCAAGGATTATGTTATAGATATCATAGAATCAGGTTAAAGTATATCTTGATACTCAAAAAGATAGATTTATAACAAACATTTTTACGTAATACAAGTATCAGTGTCACAAAAATGTGATATTTACATATTTTAATCAGGACTCCAGCTGAGATACATTTTATACAAAATTTAAAAAATATTTAATGACTATACAAGTAACATTTAGTGTACAAACATTGACTAAAAATTTAAATTTTCAGTTTAATAAATCAATTACAAATTGCACTCGATTCATTGAGACTGCTATTTCTCAATTTTAAAGAATTGTAAAACTATTTTTAAGACTGTTTTAAATGGGCAAAAATATATATACTAAAATAAAAGCTTCAGTCTGTTCAAGATGAACTACAAAACCCCCTTAGTAAAATTAATTATAAAAAGTTTTCTACTTTTATTCATAAACATAAGTAGTCATGTTTAAAGTTCTATGAAAGGATCACTTGAAGCTGTTTGTTTTGTTAAATTATGCAAACTCGTGGTTTGTCTACATCTCGCAAGTTAGCTTCCGTGTAAGAGATGTTCTACTTAAACGATGAAATATCCTAAAGAAACTAATTACAGCCCAGAAACTACTGTATGAGATAACTTACTTGTTCTATTTATTTCATAAAATAAACAACAGTCCATTTCAAAAAAGAAGAACTACGAGTATATTATAAAAAAAAATATATTGTTTTGTTGTCGTCTGATTACTTCGACTATTACATAATTTTAAACAAAACTATTTACTGAAGTTATGCAAAACGTCAGTTATATGACAATATAATCCGTTTTATCTTGATCTAGACCTCCAACAGGCATTAGAGTGATTGATCTCAAAGATAAGACACAAGAACCTTTTGAATAATATGGAGTATGGATTATCTAAAGACACAATGATAAATATATTAAGAAAATATATACAATAGACAGATTAAAAGTAAGAACCTTTTAACAAAACAAGAATTTATTGGAATGGGCTATAACAAAAAACTTTAAGAACTTTACAACCTACTTATACGTAACTGCATAGTTTATATGATAAAAAATCTTACCGTGATATTTAAATACTCGTCTTTAATTAGCTTCAACAATTTAATACTTAAAATCATTCACCTAAAGATATGTATGTACCTGTATTTATTTAATGAAGCTTTAAAGAAAAAGATTTGAAATTAAAATGTATCATATTTTGTGGTATCATATTCTTGTATTATTGTAACCTACACGTATTTAAAGTATTAGCTTGCTCTTTGTTACCTTAAATTTATTTTTGACGTTTTAGTTGTAGCTGTGTATTTTGGTTTTTAATTTTCTTGGCCTATAAAATAAAACTATGTGAATAATGTTGGATTAAGAATGCTTTAATGGACGAAGATCACTGATTTTCAGCTTAATCCGTTGAATATTTTTCAATATTTCAATTTAATCATTAGGAGTCAGACGTATTCAATTAGGAAGTGACTTAATTTTATGAATTATCCTTAGAAATGTCTATCAAGTGATAACCATATTGTATAAGTACATTATTAATAACTATGATGGCACAGATATGCTACAATGCTAGATTTAAAATGTTATTTGCATAAGCATGCATTCACAGTTTGATGAATTGAACTTGTTAAACAAGATTTAATAGGTCCACAGTTAAAAAAGAGACTTAATAGCTTGAAGATATTTGATTTATAATTGATTTGCAGGAACTTGTCCATATATTACAAAGGAAATAAAGCTTGTGAAATATTTCAATGTTTTTCATTTTAGGTGTCCCCTCTGCGATTAAACAGCTAAAAGTGGAATAGACAGATAAATGTTATATGAGATTTAAATGTTAAATATATTGTCGGAACTTTAATTTGGGAATAACGAAAGAGAAGGAAAATTTGTAGTAAAAACTCGAAACCAATTTAAAGGAAAACAATTCTACGTTTAAAAACAAAATTTAAGTTTATTTTCTTATTAACTAAAATAACGTTGTGTAGATATAAAATAATAGAAATTGTGTTAATCAAATTGTGTGATATTTAGTTAAAAATGTAGAAACTGAAAGAAAAACTGTTTCTTTTATTAGTTGGAATTATATATAATTTAATTACTTTTTCGAATATATGTCAGATTAACGTTATTATTAAAGGGATTTTTTCGTAAATTTTTTAAAGAAAAAAAATGTAAAGGTCTTGGTCGCCTAGAGGTTAATGGCCCGCCTCTCGTGTATGAGGACGCGGTTTCAAAACCTGGCAAGTATCTAAGTGATTTTTCAGAGTCATATGTACTTTCTAAGAGTATTTAAACACCACTAATAGACGGTGAATGAAAACATCGTGAGGAAATCTGTACTTATAATTAAATTTTATAAGATAGAAATGGCCAACCCGCTTCGAGCAAGCGTGGTGATTAATTATTTAATCTTCTCCATGTGAGAAGAGGCCTTTGCTCAGCAATGGGTGCTGATAGGTTGATGCTGATGACGATGATGATGAATTTTAAAAGACAAGTTTCCTTTGTTATTTAATATATTAATTATATTTAATTACAATTAAGTATTTTTTTAAAGAATACAATACAGGAAAATTTCATAAGGGGAAGAATAATCCTTTATACATATGAATGTCTGAATATAATTAATGATCATTCTTTGATCAGAATAACTAGGGCTTGCAGTCATTTTATTTAAGTGAATATGTAAAACAATATTCTAAAACACGGCAAATTTCCCACATCATGATAAAAATAATCCAGGCTTCATTACAGATAATTCAAAGTGGTCCAAATTTTAAAAATTCTATACAAAATTCTATAGATACCACTTGAGATAAAGGTGAAAGACTATTTAAATGTGCTCTCAGGTATCGTAGGAGGAGTTAAACTACAATGCCTGTAGCTGTGAGACTAATGTAAGTTTGTCGTAATTTTTTTTTATTAATTTTATTTAGAAATAGAGAGCAATCATCTTTAGTTTTAACACTTAAACTAAATTATTTTTTTACTAAAATATATAAGATTTAATTATTTTACTAACTAACCGAGCATTATTATCAGTATAAACCTAAAACTTTAAATGTTATGCATTTATTTTAATATATAAAAGGCAAAGAGAATCGTATCGGAGGATATTAAAAATAAATTATTTTTAAAATAAAATAATTACAATAAATCAAAATACCTTCTTTATTAGTCGCAAATGTCTTTTAATAAAATGTCACACGAATATTTGTATACCATATCATTATACTAATATAAAAAAAAATATTGTAATTACTTCGATTCAATAATTTCGCACTTAAGATGGACAATATAACTGTATACGAGTAATAAGATTTTGGTAAAAAAAGGTTTTTATTTAATACGTATTTTCAATATTTTTATATTCTTTTTGTTGATAGTTATATAAGATTTTGGAAACAACAATATTAAAAAAATATATGATTAGCATGAAAATGTATTTCAAAATTTATATTAAACAAAATATGTACAACAAAATTTATATTAAACAACATATATATATTTGTTTTTCTTCGAATAGTTTCCTGGCTTCTGTTTTGGCCGCACTTGCTGACGGCAAAGAAATCTTCCGTCATGAGGCAAGAAAATTACCAGACCACTTACTTTTTGGAGTCGCTACGGCATCGTACCAAATAGAAGGAGCTTGGAATAAAGATGGTAATTAGTATACTATTAAAATTTTAAAACACATGTAATGTCGTATATTTAAGATCATAGTAGTCAATGCCTTCAAACTATCAAAAGTAAAAAACTGTTAAAAGTAGAAATATGTAAATACAGAAATTTAAGAAAGACGTTATAAATTTTTATATAAATATTACTAAACATTATCTAATGATCTACATATATTGACGAATTGTAAGAAAAATAAAATATTTAGTTAAAATCAAATGCTTCAATAATTTGTTTGCCTGAAATAAGTATTATTTTCCAAAAATTATAAAACTGATGAGAAAACCGACAGTCCATCCACTTAGAGTTTACGTTCCTCAAATCTTGATGGAATAGGTGACGTGCGTAAAGAGTGTGTGGAGACAATTAACGGAAATAAAAATTAATTTGCCCTTTCCTCGTCTATGATTTTAATAAAACCGTTTTGTAAAAGTTACATATTGATTCGTCGTAAACTTGTACGTGGTAATAGTGAGAGTGAGAGTTATAATGGCTTAATATCTCCGCAACCTACTAAAGTACTTGGGTCTGTCCAGAACTAACATCAATTCATTCTTAGAACGTACTTTGTAGGCAGCCCTAGTAGGTTCAGACACTGTAAAACCTTCGCTCCCTGTGAAGAGATTGACCGGGAACCCGCACGAGAAGTTGTCATTTATCTAATTGACGAATGACAACATTAAAATTAAGTAATAATGCAAATTTATACTTACAATATTATTGACATTTATAATTATTCACTAAACGTTTATAACCCTTTTTTATTATTGACTAGGTATTTCTACGGAAATTATATAAATCTAATATTTATTAGGTAACAGTTCTTATAATTTCTTTTATCTATCTATTTATTTAGTTTACTCCAACGTACGTGAAATTTAATACTCAATTGGTTTTAGGAACGATCGATCGCTTAGATCTCGAAACCTTCGTTATTTCGTTTTCGATTAAAGAAAAACTATTAGTTTTTAGCTGACGTATAGACATAACATAATATAACATTTTTAAAACTACTTAACAATAGATGAATGTGTTAAACTACTATAATTCCATAAATATTCATAGATTATAATAGCTTTAATCAATAAAAATACAATTTTAATAGTTTTGATTATTAATATAAACGGAGCTTAGGTTATATTAATAATAATATTCGTAATAAAATTATTACTTGACTGATTGTTTCGATTGTATGTATATATTTTTTCTGTTTTGATAGTAGTGAATTTAAAGATACAAATAAAGAAGACGATAAACCTTTAGAATACCATAAAAAACAATAAGTTAATAAGTCAAAATAAAAAAGATTTATTTATATAAACTAAGACATGTTATTGGCAACGTTTAATTTTATATAAAGTTAACATTATATAACAGAATTTGATAATTATTACGGGTAAGTAACGGTAAATAATCCGCGAGGCTATTGAAATTTATAAACACCCCAATTTCAATAGAGAAGGTGGGTGGAACCTATTAAACACCTGGGATCCTTTTTTTAAAAATATAAAATCCCATGTCCTTGACCACACCGTAAGACCTCGAGACACAGTGAGCGCATTCTGTCGGCATCCAGAGCGGTACGCCATGAAATTAAGAATTCGATGGCGGTAGGTGATAAAATAACAAGACCGACTGACAGACACCGTCTGCCCGTGATCACGGTTGCTGAAAAGTATTCGAAACGTCGGGAGTATGTAGTTTATAGTCAAAAAATAAAAACCGCGTAGTAAATCCGAAAATATTAGTTTCTTTTAAACGGTAAATAAATCCTTTCGTCAGCATGAAACTGGTTTGTATATAAAAAATAATAGCATTTATTGTTACACAGAATTAATTGTAGTTAAAACTTACATATAGCACCTTTGGATGATGCAAAAAAGGGAAAAAATATTTTTGTTCTTTTCATTAAAATGTCTTATTTGAATTTTATGTTGAGATCACATTATTTTATTAATATTAATTAAAAATAATATTTCAGGTAAATCTGAAAATATATGGGATCGCGTATCACATAGAGAACCTTGTGTTGTTGACAACTGCGACACAGGCGATGTTGCCGACGATTCTTATCATCAATATAAGCGCGATGTGGAAATGATGCGGGAACTAGGACTTGACTTCTACAGGTTCTCTCTCTCCTGGTCTAGAATATTACCGACGAGTTTTCCCGATCAAATTAATGAAAAAGGAGTACAATATTATAACAATTTGATTAACGAGATGCTCAAATACAACATACAACCCATGGTGACCCTTTATCACTGGGATTTACCACAGAAGTTGCAAGATCTGGGAGGATGGGCAAATCCCCATATAGTTGATTGGTTTACCGATTATGCAAGAGTAGTTTTTGAGCTATTTGGAGACAGGGTTAAGTATTGGATAACTATCAATGAACCTCGAGAGGTTTGTTATCAAGGATACGGAGGACAGTCTCTAGCGCCTCTTTACAATATTTCGGGATATGGTGATTACATGTGTGCTAAAAATCTGCTAGTAGCACATGCTAACGTCTACCATTTGTATAATAATGAATTTCGTAAAGCCCAGGGTGGTCAGATCGGTATAACAATAAGCGCACAATGGTACGAACCTGAATCAGAGAAAGACATGGAGGCTGCTGAAGATAGCAGACAGTTTGAGGTTATAATTTTATATACATATTTTTAATGAGAACCGAATAGATTTCTCATCAATTTCAATCTAGTCTAAACGTTTATTTCCTCTTTAAAGTATTGGATATAATTTTAGGATAGAATTTATATAATTTCTAAAGTTAATAATAAGATAATTATGGGGAATTTGTTTACACTTCCGAAACCTCCTCCATGTGAAAAGTGACCTTTGCTCAGCAGTGGGCTCTAATAGGCTGATTACACAACATAACTCAAGTTTATGTAATAATGATTTCAGTGGGGAATTTACGCAAATCCAATATTTTCAAAGTCAGGAGACTTTCCATCGGTCATGAAAGATAGAATAGCAGCAAAGAGTAAGGAACAAGGATTTCCAAGATCGCGATTGCCACAATTCACTCCTGAAGAAGTGGATTTAGTTAAAGGAAGTTTCGACTTCTTTGGATTGAACCATTATACTACTTACATGGTTTATAGAAATGAATCAGCCTATGGATACTATAGTTCACCATCTTTTTACGATGATATCGAAGCAAGAAGTTATCAAGATAGTTCATGGGATTCAGCTGCTTCAAAGTGGTTAAAGGTACGATAAATTAAACCATTAAACTACCGAATGATAATTTGTCACTATTTATAGTTATTTTACTTTTCTAGCGTGTACCCTGGGGATTCTATAATTTACTTACAAAAATACGAGAGGATTATAACAATCCGCCAGTTTTCATCACTGAGAATGGATTCTCAACCAGAGGTGGTCTAATCGACGACGACCGAGTTAAGTATTACAGAACATACATTGATGCCATGCTCGATGCTATTGAAGATGGATCAGATATAAGAGTTTATGCAGCGTGGAGTTTGATGGACAATTTCGAATGGATGAAGGGATACAGGTATATAACTTTATATAGTTTACTAAAGTTTTCAATTTAAAAGTTATTTATTAACCTGAATAACTTTAATAAATATTTCAGTGAACGTTTCGGTCTGTACGAGGTGGACTACGAGAGTCCTGAACGCACCCGCACTCCTCGCAAGTCTGCTTACGTGTACAAGGAGATGCTGAGGACACGAACACTGGACTATCATTATGAACCAGATATGAGCTCGGGAATGAATATCGATGATAACTGAAAATAATTAATATAGTTGAAAATTAAACGGATTCAAATGATTATTTTACTTTCTATTCACGTCTGATTTGCAAAGTCCGTCCTTACGTACACAAATTATAAACCTGCGTTGTAGTCTTACATGTATATTGATTTGATTACATTTTGTTAGTAAAATATTTATGAATTCTTTATATGTACTTGTAATTAAGTAACGTAAAAATTCTTGTTTATTGTAAAAACAAATGAATGAAAATCAAAAATTATTTTGAAGTGAAAATGTTTTAGGTAACTGTTAATAAGCGCTTCTTAAGTTTTTTATTCTGAAGTCATTCTTTCATATAAATAATTTTGAAAATAAAATGAAAATGTTTTGAATACCGTAATACCGCGATATTTTTGTATTGTAATGTACTTCAAGTGGCAAAATTATCGTTTTTATACGTTTATCGCTAGACATGCTTGAAATTGACAGATCACATAGATTAATTTTCATGAACAATAAATAGTTAAGCATGGCAATGAAAAGTATAAACTATTATTTTTACTTTTGGAGAGTACATAGCGATGCAAATAAAAATTGCTTCCTGTAAAATTTGTATTACCTACTCTAAAAGATTTTCAGAAAATGCTTGAGATTATTTTTAATTTTTTAATGGTAATTAATATAATTAAAACCAAAACAGTTTAAAATGAGGCTTTGTATCTATCCTATTTACAAAAGACTTGATACAGGGAACCGAACAACTAATGAACAATAAAATAGCGATGACAGAATTTTCAACAAGTATTTTTGTGGGTATTAAATAACTACGGTGTTAATTTAAATACCTTTTTAGTAGTTTGTTGCTTTTACAATGAATGCTTCTTAATTTTGTCCTTGGTGGGGAGGCCATATCATCAATAGCCGTCATAGTAATCACCTATCAGGAAAGGTCGTCCCGTCTATTCGTCGATTTATCGGATTTCAGTTTGTTGTCTGATCAAATAGTATTGAGAATGGGTTTGAACGGGTGCATTGTGTTTGAAGTTGAGTACAACAGATCATAATTTTAGTTGTATTATTTGTTCTTTTATTGAAGGTAGCGGGACAGGTGCTCCGCTGGCCACCCACATACCAAATAGTTTGCTAGCTACCCATAAAAGGGGTAGAATGACGAAATAACGACCCAGTCAAATGAAAAAAAAGAGATTTAATCTGAACATATTGAAAAAGTAATATTTGAACTCCCGAAACTCGTGACATTAAAATGACAAAAAAAAATGCCCCAGCTCATCTTAGTTTTCAAATAATACATAAAAAGCTAAAAAAAAAAGAAATTTAATCTTCGATATGTGGTTCTTGAAACAGAGTAAAAACGTACAAACTAAGGTAAATTGGTTATCTTGACAACAAAGTTTTCATTTGAGATAATAGACTCTGAGTTTAAATTCTTAAATAGTAAAAACCTTCAATTGATATCGATTGAGATAAAGATAAAAAAGTATTTAAATGTCCACTCGTCTACAATTCAAGGAGTAACACGAAAATGTTCGGTGCTGTTAGATTAGTGTAAGTTTTATTTTACAATTTCATATTATTCTTTATTTCCAAAAATATAAATGTTCCTAATTTAATTCATGTAAAAGATAAAGTTGTTCAAGTGTTCTTAAATTTGTAATTAATAAAATCTATTACTAATTTTTAATCATATTTGTTAAGTATACTAAAGAATACCTTTTCACTTCACTAACACTACAAAATCAGTTCTTAGCTTACAATTCTATTAATATATACAGAATTTCATTTCGTTTTACCTCCGTTTAAATCACCTACATAAATTTTGACTCTTTTTTATTGAAACATGTGAGACATCCTAACTTTGACTTCATTTTAATTTTTTAAGGAAATAAGAGTAAGCGATATATTTTAAACTTGGTTTATTAATTTTTAAGCTGGGTCTTCTAAAGGTTGACCAAACATTCATTATAATTAGTAAATTAAGTACCTATAACTTTTTTATTTTCATGTTTAACATAGCTAAATACGTCTAGCGATTATTATATAAGATATAGATGTCACATATCCATATACATATGTTTACTACAAACTAAATACATATCAATTATTCTTAATTAAATATACATATTCATCACTAACAGATTCCTGGCATTAACATTGGCTGTTCTCGCCAATAGCAAAAAAATCTCTCGACATGAAGCGAGAAAAATACCCGACCACGTACTTTTCGGAGCTGCTACGGCATCGTATCAAGTAGAGGGAGCTTGGAATGAAGACGGTAATTAGTATATATTTAATGTGGTTCTCAAAGTCCAAAAAATAATTATGCGTGGAGTTTCTCCTCGCGGAAGAAGTGAAACTTTGTAATATTGGAATGAAAACAGGTAGGGGTAGTATTTGATTTTTAAAGGAAGTTGTAGAGCTTCTTTAAGATGAAATTTATTTATATTACTTAGAAATCAAAATGGATTGTCCGAATACCTTCGAGCGCCACGCATTCCGTGTTGCTGTCTCTTTTCAAAACGAAATGTTTTAATTAAGGCGGTTTTATTCTGCCATATACACGGCTCGCTTATACTACTTCACTTATTAAAGATTATTTGTATATGTAAAATTTCAGGAAAATCTGAAAATATATGGGATCGCGTATCACATAGAGAACCCTGTGACGTTGACAACTGCGACACGGGCGATATAGCTGATGATTCTTATCATCAAGTTGAGCGCGATGTGGAAATGATGCGGGAACTAGGACTTGACTTCTACAGGTTCTCTCTATCCTGGTCTAGAATATTACCAACGAGCTTTCCAGATCAAATTAATGAAAAAGGAGTACAATATTATAATAATTTGATTAATGAGATGCTCAAATACAACATACAACCCATGGTGACTCTTTATCACTGGGATTTACCTCAGAAGTTGCAAGATCTGGGAGGCTGGACAAATCCCCATATAGTTGATTGGTTTACCGATTATGCAAGAGTAGTGTTCGAGTTGTTTGGTGACAGAGTGAAGTATTGGATAACTATTAATGAACCTCGAGAGGTTTGTTATCAAGGATACGGAGGACAGTCTCTAGCGCCTCTTTACAATATTTCTGGATATGCTGATTACATGTGTGCCAAAAATCTGCTAGTAGCACATGCTAACGTCTACCATTTGTATAATAATGAATTTCGTAGTCTCCAGGACGGTCAAATTGGTATAACATTAAGTGCCAAATGGTATGAGCCTGAATCAGACAGGGATATTGAAGCGGCTGAAGACACCATACAATTTGAGGTAAATATTTAATATTTTGGTAGTGGTAGTGTCTCAAGTGACCATCAATAAGAAAGTGTAATACTTCTATATTGAATAAAGTTATTTGAGTTTGAGTTCGATATACTACGTCATCTTTTATTTACTATAGTATACTTTATCTTTAATTCACTGTGTTCTTCTCTGATTTTTCGGACTTAACAATTTTTTGAACTTAAGAATCAGTTTTGTATAATTAACAAAAATGTCATGGTGATTTCAGTGGGGACTGTATGCAAATCCAATATTTTCCGATTCCGGAGACTATCCAGCAGTCATGAAAGAAAGGATAGCAGTAAAGAGTAAGGAACAAGGTTTTCCAAGAACACGATTACCACAATTCACTCCGGAGGAAGTAGATTTAATTAAAGGAAGTTCAGACTTCATTGGATTGAACCATTATACCACCAACATTGTTTATAGAAACGAATCTGTCTATGGATATTATAGTTCGCCATCTTTTTATGATGATATGGAAACAATAAGTTATCAAGACAGTTCATGGGATGCAGCTGCTTCAAAGTGGTTAAAGGTACAATAAATTAAGTCCTCACAATATGCAATGCTATTGTTTTTTTCTTCGTTTTTTATGTTATTTTACCTTTTTAGCGTGTACCCTGGGGATTTTATAAGCTGTTAACAAAAATACGAGAGGACTACAACAACCCGCCAGTTTTCATCACTGAGAACGGATTCTCAACCCGAGGTGGTCTAATTGACGACGACCGAGTTAAGTATTACAGAACATACATTGATGTTATGCTCGATGCTATTGAAGATGGATCAGATATAAGAGTTTATGCGGCTTGGAGTTTAATGGATAATTTCGAATGGATGAGGGGATACAGGTACGTTATTATTACAGCGTGTTATGAAGATTAATTGTAATTTAAGAGGGTTACATGTTTCTGAATACTACCAATAAATATTTTTGTAGTGAACGTTTTGGTCTGTACGAGGTGGACTACGAGAGTCCTGAACGCACCCGCACTCCTCGCAAGTCAGCTTACTTCTACAAGGAGATGCTGCGCACGCGGACACTGGACTATCATTATGAACCAGATATGAGCTTGGGAATGAATATCGATGATAATTAAAAAGGACAGTTAAAATTAAACGGATTCAATTGTCTTATTTTAATTTCTATTATCGTCTGATTTGCAAAGCCCGTCCTTATGCACACAAATTATAAACCTGTGCTACGAGTGTGGTTCATATCTTTGATTAGATTTTTAAATTTTTTGTAATATTTTAATAATTGTTTATTTATATTCTTTTGAAAAGCCTTTTTTTGGTTTAAATGGTTTTAAAAATAAAATAAGTTTATGTTATTATCAATCTAGATAAATGACATAATAGCGCGATATTTTGTTACTGTTTTCTTATGTAATTCGTGAGTCAGTTGTCGCATCATACATGTTTATCGCTAGACGTGCTTCAAGATGACATATCACATAGATTGAGGTACTCGAAAAATAAATAGTAAAGCAAAAAGATGAAAAATAAAGCATTGCAAATAAAAATTTACACACTGACAATTTATTTGTAGGGGGCCAAATATTTTTTGTAAGGGGAAATCTTAGCGACTCGACTCTTACTTAGATGTCCCCTCTCTTTGAAGAAGAAATATACAGAGGAAAAATAAAAAATTGCTTACGTTTTTTAAAAGTCTGTTTATATTATTTCAAACATTTGGATCTTAATTTATATGAATGAATAAAAAACTCAGATCAGAAATTTTATACAGAACAACCTTATCAATAAACTAAATTAAAATTGAAATTGATATAATGATAACACATTTTGCAAAAGTTTTTAGGATGGGTTCTAAATAACTATGTTATCGTACGAAATACCCTACATATTTAAGTAATGTTTCATTCCTATTTTGAACAAAAAGAATTATTTCCAGTACAAAAAGCAAGAAATGTTTCATTGTTTTCACTTACATTTTAGTACTTTGAATTAAATTTAATGGGGAGTAATTTTTTTTTTGTTGAGAATTATGTTATATGTTTATATTATGTTACACATTATATGTAGCATTCGTAACGTACGTCAAAAAGAAGAATTTTGTATAATTTCGTATATGGAATATTGGTTATCAAAATAAAAATACAAAACATAAAATATTGTAATAAGAGTACATATTTTACTTGATCTGTAAATTGACTATATTCATATATACAAACCAGGCTGAAATCAATATCTCATAAAAATTAGTGCTAAACTATTTAAAAAGGAAGGTTTTAACATCTTTCAAAAATACTCATGTTATTATTTTTCTGATATTTCTTCTTAAATATTTCTAATACAAAATATGAACATATAGATATATATTAATATTTTAAGATCGTAAAAACTCCCGTACCTCATAAAAAACTAAACATTATCAAAGAAAAGTGCCCCCTTCTAATATTCAAGTACTACCAAAACGAGAAAAAATCGATATATCGTTATTAAACCAAAACAACATTGTAAAAAAATAAGAAAGATTAGATATCGAGACAGTAGTAATTTCATCTTAGATGATAAAAAGCCAGTCTAAATACTTCAATAAAATATAGTTCGACTGATATCATATTGAGATAAAGATAAAAAAGTATTTAAATATCTACTCGTCTAAGATTCGAGGAGTAACACTAAAATGTTTGGCGCTGTTGGATTTGTGTAAGTTTTACTTAATTTTTTTTCTTTTTTTCCCAAAGTTAAAACAATCTTATATTACTTAAGATGGAACAACTTTCTACCCATAGTTATGATATGATCGCGTCATATTACTCAAAATTAAAATTTTATGTTACAATAAAATAATTATAAATTATAACTAATAAGTTATAATACTTAGCATACTTATAAGTATGCTAAGTATTATAACTTATTAGTATGTTAAGTAGAAGAGAGGTAAAAATTCATAAAGAATGTCGTAAATTTCTACCTATAACGTCATTCTTAGGGTATAATCGAAATATAAATTAAACTATTTTAGTTTTGTCGCTTTCCTGCTTGACATGATAGCCTAATTGGTAAAACGTTTGGGACATGATATTACGGAGGCTTAAGCTAACAAGTTCATATTTCATTCTATATTTTTAACTGAAATTTCTTGGAACACGTAAAATCAGTACTGCTTTTATATTCAAAACAAAACTCAACTCAACTCAACAATAAAAAACAACATAAACAAATTAAATAAGGATGGCATTAATGACATTTTTTACCAATAACAGTTTTCTGGCCTTCTTTTTGGCTGTGCTTGTCGGTAGCGAAGAAATCTCTAGACGTGAAGCCAGAAAAATACCGGAAGACTTACTTTTCGGAGCTGCAACGGCAGCGTACCAAATCGAGGGAGCTTGGAATGAAGATGGTAATAAGTATATAATTACATTTTCAACCCTATTTGGTAGTTCTAAACAAAAAATAATTTTACATTATTTATTGCCTTTAAGGTTAGAAGATGCAATTCGTATAAAATTTTGAGTAATTTTTCGAAAAAATACAGACCATTGCGCCAGGAAATGTATTTTTGGCAGACCATGTTGGCAATCTTTACAAGGTTTCTTTTAAAGACTGTTCTCATTCTCTCCAACTTCTTGAAATATCCTGGGAATACTTTGACCGTCTTCGGTTCTTAGGTTTCGAAGTAACCTAGATTTATAGCTCACTTATCTATAGTATGATTTTTATTATAATCATAAAATTTTAAATTTTAGGTAAATCTGAAAGTATTTGGGATAGGTTTTCACACCACAAACCTTGTATTATTGACAACTGTGACACGGGCGATATTGCCGCCGATTCTTATCATCAATACAAGAGAGACGTAGAAATGATGAGGGAGCTGGGACTTGACTTCTACAGGTTCTCTCTCTCCTGGACAAGAATATTACCAACGAGTTTTCCAGACCAAATTAATGAAAAAGGAGTACAATATTATAATAACTTGATTAATGAAATGCTTAAATACAACATACAACCCATGGTGACTCTTTATCACTGGGATTTACCTCAAAAGTTGCAAAATCTGGGAGGATGGACCAATCCTTATATAGTTAATTGGTTTACCGATTATGCAAGAGTAGTTTTTGAGTTATTTGGAGACAGGGTTAAGTATTGGATAACTGTCAATGAACCTCGAGAGGTTTGTTATCATACAAACCCACAATCATCACAAGGTCCATCGTATAGTGTTTCTGGATACGCTGATTACTTGTGTGCTAAAAATCTGCTAGTAGCGCATGCTAACGTATACCATTTGTATAATAATGAATTTCGTGGAGCCCAGGGTGGTCAGATCGGTATAACATTAAGTACCCCTTGGACTGAACCTGAATCGGAGAAAGACATGGAAGCTGCTGAAGATGTCATACAATTTGAGGTTACTAATTTATACAGTTTTTTACCTCGAACACAAATAAGCTATCTCTATTTTTCTAAAATTAAAAAAAGACGATTGTAAATCTTTTTCATAGATTTGTTTTTATTTTTGTGTTAATTATGTTATACTCAATAAGAAAGCTCTTTAGACATCCTCAAAAGTTTAAGATTTTATTTTCTAAAACTATAAAACACGATTATCTTGATTGCAGTGGGGTCTTTATGCAAATCCAATATTTTCGGAATCTGGAGATTATCCGTCAGTCGTGAAAGAAAGGATAGCAATGAAGAGTAAGGAACAAGGATTCCCAAGATCACGATTACCACAATTCACTCCGGAGGAAGTAGATTTAATAAAAGGAAGCTCTGACTTCTTTGGATTGAACCATTATACAACTAACATTGTTTATAGAAACGAATCTGTCAATGGGTATTATAGTTCGCCATCTTTTTCTGACGATGTCGAAGTGATAAGTTATCAAGAGGATTCCTGGGATTCAGGTGCTTCAGTTTGGTTGAAGGTGAGATAAAGAAAGACTTTCCACTAAACAATAACATTCATTCCACAGCTTTTTAAATTTATTTCATCTGTTTAGCGTGTACCCTGGGGTTTTTATAATTTATTATCAAAAATACGGAAGGACTACAACAATCCACCAGTTTACATCACTGAGAATGGATTCTCAACCCGAGGTGGTCTAGTTGACGATGATCGCATAAAGTATTACAGAACATACATTGATGCCATGCTCGATGCTATTGAAGACGGATCAGATATAAGAGTTTACGCAGCGTGGAGTTTGATGGACAATTTTGAATGGGGTAATGGATACAGGTAAGAAATTACTTCATATAGTTTACTAGAGTTCAAATTTAAAAATTATTATTAATTAACCGAAAAAACTATAATTAATGTTTTAGCATACGTTTCGGACTATACGAGGTGGATTACGAGAGTCCTGAACGCACCCGCACTCCTCGCAAGTCTGCTTACGTGTACAAGGAGATGCTGAGGACACGGACACTGGACTATCATTATGAACCTGATATGAGCCTGAGAATTGATGGCGAAGAGAACTAAATAAATAAAAATAGGAGTAGAACGTGTAAAGTAAACAATTAAACAGATCCATAAACCGATTTTTTACTTATTTCTGACTGTTTTACTTCCTTCATAATGATTTATTAAAAGAAAAATACATATATTAGTATAATGCGAAAAATTCGTAGTAGGAAAATGCGTGCCAATAAAACTCAAATTAAATGCGTTGAATTTGGATACTTATCGAAGAATATTTAAGTATGTTATATCTGTATGTATGAATAATATTGTAATTAATCTCCATAAAATCTTATTAGTTCTAATTTAACTAGTCATTAAAATACTATATTACTGTAGAAAGCAGTATTTAAACGAAATATTTATCAAAATGGTCTTGTTTTCTTTTTGTACAAAGATCCATATAATCTTTTTTAAGAACTAGAACTTATTTAGGTATTCATTCATTCATTCTAGGAAAACAACGATTTCAAAATTAATTTACAAGAGCATGTCTTATGATACACACATATCATGTCTTATGATATCACATAGTGTCGAATTCACGAACTAACGAAAATAGCTACTAATAGTCATTAAGTTTTTAAACTACTATTTTCAATAAAATATTATTTCTATTAAATAAAAAAAAATATTAACTTTTCCTTAGCACTATTAAAAATTACTAGGCTTCTATACGCATCACATAGGTACACTATATGTAGGTACACAGTTTCTTGAATTGGAAATTATTATGCAGTATCCATTCAACTTAATTTTTTCCAACATAACTTGAATATATTTATTAAGAGGACAAAACTTCGGCATCCTGTAAAATTATCACTTACATAATATGTAATACAGGGAATCCCAAAGTTGCTGCACTCTGGTGCACTGTAGATTTTAAAAAAGGGCGTTTGAGTCGAGCCTTACGCGAAACCACAAACATGAGCGTGTACCTTATTTGAGTGCTCGCATTTATAAAGAACACCTACATACATAACGGGTCGGTATCACTCATTTGCCGAAGTATACCTACGCTCTTAAAATCCGTAGATACTCTTTGACCGCCCGCGCTTGTCTGCTCTCAATATCAAACGAGCTGTGCAACGAACGGACGTGTCATTGTGTTGGCAGATGGTTTTAATATCTTTTAATAATATTTTTGACTCCTAAATGTTTCCTGCCCTCATTTTGGCTGTGCCTGTCGGCAGCACAGAAATCTCTAGACATGCAGCCAGAAAATACCGCACGACAAACTCTTCGGAGCTGCTACGGCAGCGTACCAAATAAAAAGAGGGTGAAATATTTTTCCATGATCTCAAACTGATAATTATATGTAATAATATAATAAGACGTTATGTACGAGAATCAGTTTATAACAAGCCCAAACTTACGTAAACACTAAACTAAATTAGACCAGTGTTTTCATGTTACTTAATAACATTTATAAATAGTTTTTTTTTTGTTTGTATTGTTATAAAATTGTAAATGACAAATAACAAACAAAATATAACAAAAAAAATAAAACAATGCTTGTTAATGAACTCTACTAACTCATATAGCTTCGTCGTCTTATATCGGGATCCTCTACTAAGAATAAATCTTAAAAAGAAAACTCGACGAAAACATGTTAAGGATCCCCAGGATCGATCGAATCGGGTTGTACCTGTCATTTGTCAAACATTTGTTATCCATCCTGTCAAATACTATAAGTAGTGGTTGACATGAGTTCAGAAGTTTAAGCGTGCTTTCATTAATTTATTTTGCGTAAATTAAAGATTATATTCTATAAAACAATTTCTAAGTTTTATTTTATACGTTAACGAAAACGTAAATGTCTCTTTAAATTGTCTAATTTTTTTAAAGAATTGTTATAGTGCGCGATACATCAGTTGAGCTTGGCATTTGTGTGACTATATTAGTCTATGATAAAATATTGTCTCTGTCTTGAAATTTCAGTTATTCTTTCAAATTGTTTGTAAAGAGTAAAATTGTTTGTTTTATGTGGTTTTGTAAGAGTACATATTCAGTTTTACTATTTGTGGCCGGAGTTACAATAACAAAATACCTACATAATTCATTTACCATTTGTTAGTGTCATTTTCACATTGGTTTCTACGGGATAATTTGTGCTGTTTGTTTTTTTTCTGAAGTGTTTGTTCAACAAGGTAAATCAAATTATAATAGTCTAGGAAAGTTTTGATAGACCATTTTAATACTATTACAAAAGAATAGGAATAGAATAAGAAAAGTATTTTTTATTTTCAGTTGAATTTTATTTCAAAAAATGCCGGCTATTAGACGTACAAACTTAAGTCGCAGATCCCTTAATTTCTTAAGTCCAAGATATAGAAGAGCAAGTCTAACTGATGAGCAAGTCTAACGTGAAACACGGAATGAAGTTGAACGGAATCGATGGAACCGGAATCAACGGTATAGAAGTGTTGCGTTTTACCCCTATAGAGCTGCATTTAGTTATAACAAAGAAATGGACTGTAGTACAATAAATTTTATGCCAACTTTTAAGGTAAGTGTATTGAAAAACATTTACCACTATAGTTGACAGTTTTCAATTGTAATGGTGTATCATTTGAAATGGCTTAAAGTACATTTGTAGCATTGTGAATTACTTTTAAGTAGCCAGAAGGAATTGTGTTAAAAAAGTTGATGGGGGAAATGGTAGTCCTCTGTATGTCACTTTACAATATGTATATGTAATACAGGAATGTTTACCTTTGCAGATTCAAGGCCAAATATATCATCATCAAACAGGTTCCTCATTACCAGTGCCGGATAGTGACTATAAATTTTAGGAAATTTATTTCATGGTCAGTTCAGGAAGACAAATTGATCAACAAGTATTAAGTGATAAGACCAGTTGTGGCACAGCTCCTATTATTTTTCCATTCACATAATGTATTGGTTGCATTATTCAAGACCGCATAAGATCACATGCCATCTGATAATCACAAAATTGTAATCAAAGCCGACAAGATACCTGCAGTGCAACTCATAAGATATTTTAACATAATATGATGCTTTACAATATCCTATCTTATTTTCGCAAGATGGGTATCATTTTTTAATGAAGATGATAAATCCAGTTACAGGTAAATAAACATTTTAAGTTTTTAATGTTTATCATATCTTTAAGTAATTTATATAATTTTAACACAAAAAAATGTCCTGAAACTAACAAGAAAGTTAGTTCAATAAATTATTATTCATACAGGCTTGTGGTTGGAGAAATTGAGGTCAATCAGATCTTAAAATGTTTGTCTCTTTGTCTCTTTCACCAATATGCTGTTGATATGTGTGTAAAAGTAGAAACTGGGTAATTAATGTTTATCAGGTTGAACCAGGCAAAACTCCATTCAGAGGAATAAGGAAACTAACTTCATTCAGATAAAAACGTAACAGATATTTCTAGATTATATAAGTTCGCCGGGTCATCTAGTATATAATATTTCATTAAAAACTAATAAAAAAGATTAGTAGCGTAACTAATTACCCCCGAAGTAAAGAAACATTTTCCCAGCATCTTAGTACCTACGTAAAAAAATAAAATAAAAATAAAGTAATAATCCCTACTTACCTACTAATATTATAAAAGCGAAAATAACTCTGTCTGTCTGTCACACTTTCACGCCTAAACCACTGAACTTAAAAATAAATATAATAAAATAAAAAACTTAAATAATACTTAAAATCATTAATGAAATTTGTTACAGAGATAGAGTTGACCTTGAGACAGAACATGGGATAGTTTTTATCCCAGACTTGAAAGGTTCTCTTGGAAACGCGATATAACCGAACTCCACGTGGGCGGAGCTGCGGGCGGAAATCTAGTAACCTATATAGGGCCCTGTTGAAATAAAATGATTTAATTTTTTTTTACTACATATCAACGACAAAGATTATTCGGTGTCGCATTTAAATTGCACTATCATACATTTTTGATAATACAAAGAGGATTTAGAATACATAACATAACTCAATTGAGATAAAGATAAAAAATATTTTAAAGTCCGTGCAGTCACAGCAGGAGGTGTGAAACGAAAATGTTCAGCCTTGGAAGTTTCACGTGAGTTGTCATTCCTTTTAAAATTTATAATAAAAAATATAGATATCGTTATTTAAATAATGTATCTGCATCTAGATAGTAGCAGGTCGTCATAATTTTAAACTTACGTTCAGAATAATTTTTATGACTCGAAACTTTCAAAGGTGATCAAATAGCGCTACGTGTGGGAAAAAAATGTGTCAGGGATTTAATATATATATATTTTAATTAAATATATTCTTACTTCAAATCACCATGTGAATATCCATGCACATCTGCATTCTTAGGGATGTTTGATTATTTTTAAATCCCAGAGGATATTTGTGTCGACTCCAGACCAGACACATTTATGTATTCGCGAAATTTAAAGTTCTTTGTGTTAATAGAGCTAACAGTTTCTTGGGAAACCAATATTTCCAAAGACCATGCCATAAAGGGCAATAAGTATTAAGAGCTCATTCAATGTACTCACTGGGAATAGGTTCGTTATTTGAACGTGGTAGAAGTGGGAGCAAGCGGTATATTAGCTAAATCTCTCTGCAACCTATCAAAAGAATGGGCTTGTTAAAAACTAACATAAATTCGTTTTTGGAACGTAATTCAAAGACAACTCTAGTAGGTTCTTTTCAAATTTGGTGAGGTAGAGAGAGGAAATTTGACTATGGAGGTGAGCTTTTAACGCGTTTTAGATAGAATCACTTTAAACCTACAGCTGGGTCGCAACTCCCAGTTCCAGTTAAAATTCCTCTACCTGTAATGCGATGGACCAAGTACCAAGTACAAGTACTGAGAAGTTTCCTCTCTGGTATTGATAGAAAATACTTCCTTTGAAGGAAATTGTATATTTTTATTAAATATTTTTATTATTACGAGCGACCTTCTCTTTTTTCTCTTTCCTCTTCAAAATCGACAACAATAAAGAGTTTAAGTTGATTTTAAACTACTTTAAAGTTTAGAGAAATAAAAAAAGTGTATTAATTTCATTTATTTATCAATTCCAGTTGCCTGGCGTCAATTTGGATTGTAGTGGTCAGTACCGAAAACACATCTAGACATGAAGCAAGGAAACTACCCGAGCACTTACTTTTCGGAGCAGCTACGGCATCGTACCAAATAGAAGGGGCTTGGAACGAAGATGGTAATTAACATATTAAAACTTATTGAATTTTAACACACTATATCACATTTTATGTTCTATGCAACATTTATTTTTATACCATTATTGCCCTTTTCATCATGATCAATATACAATATATACACACACCACGAAATTTCTTTTCTCCAGGAAATTAAGCTTATTTAAATAAAATATGACTTTTGAATCGAATCACAGACAAGTATTTACAATATTGTACTATAAAGGCGATTTAAATAAACCTGAAATTATAATAACAATAACATTTTAAAGTAGAACTCAAGAAAAGATTATTATCTCATAATTTCTCGAATAATCAGATAAAAAGCACACCAATATATTTCTATGCCCAATACTAATACTTTAAGAGACTAAAATTAAAATTAAGAAAATGTGAAAATTAAAAACATTTTTAATAAAAATAATTTCTACAATACCAACCTTAATATTAATTAAATTCAAAATTATCCTTTATTTACCAAATGAAGTCACTAAAAATCTGCAATTGTAAGCACCAGTACTCTTTTAACACTTATGACATTATTAGACAATGTTGAACCATTTCTGTAACTAAGATGAAATTATTACAATAAGTCAGCTAACACGAACCCTAATGGACAGGGGTGCATTTAATACTTTTGTAATTAAAAAGTAAAAATATTACTTTGTGTTTTATGTATTATCGTTAAGTTGATTGCTTTGTCGTTTTAATTATCAACATACCGTTCTACACATTTTATTTCCAAGTTAAACACCGCAAATATTGAAAGAATTAATATTAGATCTCAGCTGGACCCAATTTTAAGAATTTGGCGCAAATGGCCATACCTATAATACTGCTATATCCGTCTTGCGTCAATTATTCAGTAAGAAAGATATATCTCGAAAACGACTTATTCCCTGGCCAGCACGTTGCCGAATTTGAGTCTAATGGATTGCTAAACTAAAAGAAAATATCCGAGTAGAAATGTCAATAATTTTAAATAGTACTTCCCGTGCAGTGATACAAAGTTTTAGTCGTAGTTTACACGAGTTCCAAGTTCCAAGAAGGAAGTGGAGCACATTGGATGAAATGGTTTTAGAAAAATAGCGTTTTAATGTAATTTAATTAACAATACATAAAAATTTCATATTATATTTAGGTTTTTCTTATATATTATTACAGGTCAAAGGACTTATGGGACACTTAGTTTAAAAATTTAGATTATTCTTTTTAACACTAATATACATTTTTAAATTTCAGGTAAATCTGAAAGTATTTGGGATAAGTTCTCGCATCTAAAACCTTGTTTTATTCACAACTGTGATACGGGCGACATTGCCGCTGATTCTTATCATCAATACAAGAGAGACGTGGAAATGATGCGGGAACTAGGACTCGACTTCTACAGGTTCTCTCTCTCCTGGACAAGAATATTACCAACGAGCTTTCCAGACCAAATTAATGAAAAAGGAGTGCAATATTACAATAATCTCATTAATGAAATGCTCAAATACAACATACAACCCATGGTGACCATTTATCACTTTGATTTACCTAAAAAGTTAATGGATCTGGGAGGATGGACCAATCCCCATATAGTTGATTGGTTTACCGATTATGCAAGAGTAGTTTTTGAGCTATTCGGAGACAGGGTGAAGTATTGGATATCTTTTAATGAACCTCGAGAGATATGTTTTCACTCAAGTCCAAATCCACAACTAAGTACATCTTATAGTATTTCGGGATATGCTGATTACATGTGTGCTAAAAATTTACTAGTAGCGCATGCTAACGTCTACCATTTGTATAATAATGAATTCCGTAAAGTCCAAGGTGGTCAACTCGGTATAACAATAAGCTCCGCGTGGTATGAACCTGAATCAGAAAAGGATGTAAAAGCCGCAGAAGATGTCATACAATTCGAGGTTACTGTGATATTTTTTTACTTAAAGACAAATGTTGTCCTTGTCTTATTTTTGAATATTAAAAATAAATCTATAACAAAACTTTGTATTCTGCTATTTTTGAGCCATCTTTAAAAGTATACATTGAATTTGTTTCTACTAATTGAATATATCTTGTAAAACAAAGTGTCTTATTTATTTCAGATGGGTATTTATGCCAATCCAATATTTTCGGAATCTGGAGATTTTCCGTCAGTCGTGAAAGAAAGGATAGCAGCGAAGAGTAAGGAACAAGGATTTCCAAGGTCACGATTACCACAATTCACTCCGGAGGAAATTGATTTAATTAAAGGAAGTTTTGACTTTTTTGGATTGAACCATTATACTACTTATATGGTTTATAAAAATGAATCAGTCTATGGACATTATAGTTCTCCATCGTTTAATGATGATATAGAAGTAATAACTTATCAAGATAGTTCCTGGCATTCAGGTGCTTCATTGTGGATGAAGGTAATAAAAAGAAAGACATTCTATTAAACAATAACATTAATTTGTCAGGTTTTCAAATTTATTTAAACTTTTTAGAGTGTACCTTGGGGATTTTATAAGTTATTAACAAAAATACGAGAGGATTTCAACAATCCGCCAGTTTACATCACTGAGAATGGATTCTCAACCCGAGGTGGTCTAATTGATGACGACCGCGTTAAGAATTATAGAACATACATTGATTCTATGCTCGATGCTATTGAAGATGGATCAGATATAAGAGGTTATGCAGCGTGGAGTTTGATGGACAATTTCGAATGGGTAATGGGATACAGGTAAATTATCCTTTTATTTTATTATTAAAGTTTCCAAATTTTAAAGTTATAAAGGGATTTAAATATCACTAACTAATTAACTAACATTTTAGTGAACGCTTTGGACTGTACGAGGTGGATTACGATAGTCCTGAACGCACCCGCACTCCTCGCAAGTCTGCTTACTTGTACAAGGAGATGCTGCGCACACGGACACTGGACTATCATTATGAACCTGATATGAGCTTGGGAATGAATGTCGATGATAGTTAAAAAAGACTAATATAGTTAAATATTAAACGGATTCAAATGATTATTTTACTTTATATTGTCGTTTGATTTGAAAAACCCGTTCTTATATACACAAATTATAAACTAAAATACTACTGTGGTTCGTCACTTACATTACATCTTGTCATTTAAGTACTTATGCTCCAATGAATGTTCTAAAGTTATTTCTCAAATGTGTTCATGATTACAAGTATCATAAAAAGTCTTATACTGAAAATAATTAATAGAAAGAAAAACAATAACACATTTTTATTTAAATTTTAATAAGTACTTATTCTTATTCTTCTAAGAAGCCTTTTTTGAGTTAAATACATTTAAAACTAACTATAAGTGATTAGTCTATTCAACAAGTTAAAAAGGGGTTTAATAGAAATAAATCTTCTAAAAATAAGTACGATACCACATTTGATTCAGAATGACGTCTAGAAAAATGTTTTTTAAGGATATGTTAGCACATTAAAAGTTCTTGTTATTATTAACAAAATATTTAACTTTAACAAAAATATTGCATAACCTTAATAAAGAGAGCAACATAATTTATTCATATTTTTAAATTATTATTTAAAATTAAAAATAATATATTTTAGGTGATATACCGGTTTATAGGTGGCGCGCCTATACTGTAAGGTCTTGCGGAGCCCTATGTGCAGTATAAAAAATATATAAATAATATATGTAGATAGAGTACCAAGAGTTAGGACTTTGATTGAAAATTTCCTCTTCTTTCAGGATCTTTTTCAAAATTTCTTAAATATTATTACACAAATTATCTGCAGCGAGAAAAAATGGGGTTATCGGTTCAAGTTTAATAATAAATACAAACAAAGTAGGAGCACAAAGTATCAAAGTAGGGTTAGGATCAAGTAAGAGAGTCCAAGATTCGGATATATTATAGTTAGCCCTAGTAGGTTCTTTTTAGGGAGGAGCTTGGACAGTGGAGGTGAGCGTTTAACCCGCGTTAGATAGGGACCCTTTAAACCTACACTTGGGTCGCAAGTTCCAGGCACTGTTGAAGCTCCTCTCCCTGCAACACAATAGACTCGGCACATGCACAGTGAATCCTTGTAATTCTTAGAGGTTTCGTCTCTTAAAAGATGTAAATAAAAACTTAATATGTACCTTTTTTGTCTTATTTTGTTAATAACAATCATATTTTTTAATGTGCTGATATATCCTTAAAAACATTTTTCTAAACGTGTTTCTCAATCGAATGAGCTATCGCACTTATTTATGGGAGCTTTATATTTAACACATTTTGAACTTCTTGACTTGACCAGATTATGAATGTAGATAAATGACATAATACCGCGATATTGTGTTACTGTTTTCTTATGTAATTTCGAGTGCCAGTTATCGTATCACCGCATCATACATGTTTATCGCTAGACGTGCTTCAAGATGATATATCACATAGATTGAGGTGCATGAAAAATAAATAGTAATAAGTAAAAAGACGAAAAATAAATCATTGCAAATAAAAATTAACACACTGACAATTTATACCCACAAATATTTAATAATGGGGAAACTCTTAGCGACTTGACTTGGACTTAGGTGTCCCCCTCAAAGCAGCTGAAATATGGAGAGAGAAAAAAAAGTATACGTTTGTTAAAAGACACGAATGTTTCAGAAATTTGTAATTAAATTAATATGATAGAATAAAAAACTAAAAGCTATTTTAAACAAAAACTATTATTCCCCACCACAAAAAGCAACAGATGCTTCGTTGTTTTCACTAAGGCGTTTATGCCAGTATTTTCATATTAAATTTAATGGAGAGCAAGATTTTTTGTTGAGAATTATGTAATATATATATCATATTTAGGATTCGTAAAGTACCTAAGTACTGACTTTTCTCTTTTTCAAGTGCGAACGGAAATCTTTAGAAACAAAAGAGTTTTATATAAAAGGAAACAAATTATGAGTTTTATATATGTATATATAGGAACATATATATGACAATATATGTGGTAATATTAATATTTTTATTTTAATGTGAAAGGTGGCAAACGAGCAGACGGCCTACTTGATGCAAGGTGGTTATCGTCGCCCATAGACATCCGCAACATAGGAGATGTTGCGGATGCTTTGCCAACCTTGTTTTTTAGGAATAGGGTGGGGTAGGAATAAGAAAAAGGTAGGAAAGGGTGGGAATAAAGAAAGGGCAACCGGCTCTCTCACTCATCGGAGTAAACGCAGCCATCAAAGGCTACTTCATCCCGATTTTCTGTGAGAGGGTGGTACTTCCCCGTTCGATCCAGCCCATGTTCGAGCTGTAGTAACTGACCACAGCTAGGCTCTGCCACCTAACAGTATAATATTTTTAAACCGGAAAAACTCCCATCTTCGTGAAACTAAAATCAAAATCAAAGAACAGGGCCCCCCTTGGTCGAAAACGTTAACAACAATGTACATAACAAACAAAGATTAGATATCGAGATAGGAATAATTTCATCTTAGATGATAAAAAGTGAGTCCAAATACTTAAATAAAATGAAATTCGATTGATATCAAATTGAGATAAATATTGAAAAGTATTTAAATATCTACAGGTCTAAAGTTTGAGGAGTAAGACGGAAATGTTCGACGCTGTGAGATTAGTGTAAGTTTTACTTTCCTTTTTTTATATTTTTCCCAAAGTCAAAACAATCTACATATTATAATTGACATAAAAATTTATTTTATTAATAGTACATAATTGTTTTTAATTCATTCTTATAAAACATACAAAACAACGGTTTTCACTTTCTATAATTTATAAACAGATTGAACTATGTAAAAAAATGCTTCAAATATTACAAGATAGTGATTTTAATACTATCCTTTTATTACAATATTTATCCTAACAATTAACTTATGTACTTATATATATTGTATACCTTTTACTGCAACCCGTCCTGCCTCCGTTCTTATCATTTAAGACAACGTTTTCTGTATTTTTAATGAAACTTTCAGGAGGACCTACCTGTACCATATATTTATACTTTAGAAGGAAAATAATATTTTATCTAACACTTCTGTTTACCCTTAACGATCTTTATAAATATTACCAGAATATACATTTGACAATTTTATTAAATTCTGGTTCTTATAAAATAAAATAATCATAAGAATAATAACGTTAAGTAGAATAGAGCTCAAAATTCATTAAAGGTCATTTTCAAGACTCAGGGCATAATCGAAATAACAGTGGCGTGCACTCCATAGATGCAAATAAGCACAGCATACCTTACCCTTAAAACAACTAAACCTATATTATTGAATTCTTACTTACAAAATTTTAGTCATAAATTACGAAATACAAATGTTTGCAGACATTTATAATGACATTTGATTCACGATTTGTTAATGTGTGCCATCTATCAATGTAAAAACGAAACATTTTCGATCGGCCACTGCTAACTGCTAGCGCCACTATGCCACCAGAGCGGCGGTATGCACAACCACTATCTGCTTATTTTCCATACAAAAAGTCTCAAGGACGATCTACAAATCTCGTGTATGTATGCAGAAAATGTTTGTACATATGTCTTCGAGAAGAACTGATTATTTTGTACCTATTATTTAAAATCTCGTAGAAAGGTCCGTTATTTGTCAAATGACATGGGGCTCTCCGATTGGTCGGTAAACTGTTTATAATTTTTTTTTGCCATTTTATTATTATTGAATATTGTAATTTGTCTTTCTAAGCGCAAATGAATAAGTATTTATTAGTTAAATAGTAGACAGTGGATTAATTTATTAACGAATTATGGAAAAATATAGTTGTGAGTTCTGTGCTAGTGATGTGTGTTTATCGAAATTAATTACGAGTAAATTTTCAACACTGTCGTTTGATAATAAAATTAAAATAAAATATGTAAAGTCTAGGCGTATGACCAGTTGAGATTGAACTAAAAGAAAGGTAATATTCCTTTTAATAGGTAAAAAGTATTATGTATTATAATAGTTAGGAGGTTGCGTTCACACAAATAAGTTATTTTGTTTGCTTTGTTTATTGTTTTCAAATGATAATAATAAGAATTTTTAAAAAATTACATTTGAAGTTTCGATTACTTTGCAGCAACCGTGACCACGGCAAACATCTAATCTGCTCGTTAAAAATAATAACTTAGGTACGCGTAGTAATCCGAAAATGTTAGTTTAATTTAAATGAACACTTTCCAAAGATCTACTTGTTATCAATGTTTTAGAAAGGAAATTATAAAAGTTGGTATTTTTTTTTCTTACATATTCTGCTTACCCTACCCCAAATCTCTGTGCACGCCACTGCGAAATAATAAATGAAACTCTTCCTTTAAGAAATGTTATCATACCTACATGGATATAATACCTAAATTGTACTTACATATTTCATATAAAATGCGTAACTAGAAGCAAATTATATATTTTATTGATTACATTTATCGCAACTACGTAAGCTCGTCGTTTCGGTTCCTTTTCAGCAACCGTGATGATATATGAGCGACTAAGTTTTTCTTAAAATTGGATTTTATATGGAAACAATGGATAGATAATTTTTGATATGGGCAGGATTTAAATTTGCGACATCCGAAACACTGCGTTTAGTTGATTTCGTGCTTGACACTATCGTGTAGCGTAATTGGCAAAGTATTTGGGAAACGGTATTCCGGAGGTTGTGAAGTTCATTTCAGTACCTAAAATCAGTATTGATTTATATTCAAAACAAAATTTAATTTCAACAACATAAAAATGTTAAGTGCAGAAGGTAATAATGATATTTTTTAACACTTCCAGTTTCCTGGCCTTCTTTTTGGCTGTGCTTGTCGATAGCAAAGAAATCTCTCGACATGAAGCTAGAAAAATACCGGAGGACTTACTTTTTGGAGCTGCGACGGCATCGTACCAAATAGAGGGAGCTTGGAATGAAGATGGTAATTAGTATGTAATTAAATTTTTAAGCAAGTATGGACTTGCTATTTCAAATATATATATTATTTATTGCCTTAAGACCGGAAGATTCAACAAGTAAAAAATGTTGAGTATTTGTGTGAAGACAAATATCTCTTTGCGTTTGCAAATCTCTTCAAATAAATTTGAGTACTCATCTCTCTTATAATATAATGTGATCAATCATTATATCTAGAAACAGCCAGTTCTAAACAGACCATCTGTATTTAAGGGTACCAATATTGGGCAAATTTGGTAACCTCACTGAGCTATTGAAACATCCCAGTTGAATCTTGGTCTCAATTTACCATAGAACGTAGACAATGAGAGTTCTACAAGGTATATGAAATCTTGAAAACAACTGCAATTTCATGTATATACATACATTCTAGAGCCTGATGAAAATTATACTCAATACTGTAGTCCAAACACAAAAGATACTCCACGTTTGTAGGATAAACAATCTGCATATCATTCAAAAGAGCAAGTACGTCTAATTAATTATTCTCCACATGTTGTTTAATTGCTATAGAATGACAGACTTATAGAACAGATTTATAGAAGAAACAAATATTTTTAATATAATTTATAAATTTTGTTACTGCTTACTGTAATAAAACAACATGTGTCAACTGGAGATCGACAGAGGAATGGTTCATTAAACATAGAAAATTCAATGATGCTTATTGACATGTTTGCCACAAGATGGCGCTAGTTGTCTACATATTTTGATATTTACAACACTTACTGATTATTATTATTATACTTTTTGTTTCTTCTCTGATCGTATATGTATAATCATAACATACTCGTATATTTTTAATCATTTTTTTGAAGATTCTATCTAAATTATTATTATAATATTACATTTTTTAAGTATGGGGTAAACGTCTGAGTTTGCTTTAATGTCCTATCAGTCAAATGAGCTACTGCTTATATGTGGCATTGTAATGGAATATATTAATAACAAGCATCAAAAGGATTAAAGAGATTAAGTGTTGCACAAGATAAAAAGTTTTTTTATAGAACTATGACGAAACATTTTGACAATAGTGATTTCTTTAAGCGAAAATTTCATTTTATTTTGCTTTTGGCTATAAAAAATCACTGTTTTAATTTAAATGAAACAATTCAAAGCGGGTAATAATAATGTGAAATCAATATTAACCTAATATCCAATTATATTAAGCAATAACATTTTATTTTAGTTTTGCATATATACTGTAAATGAAGTACTAATATTGTAGTTACCGGTATTACCCGTTACTTTTTAATTTGCACTCCTTCAAAGCTGGACGTAACGAGATATCAGATTGTAAAGATATTAAAGTTTCAGTTCAATATAATAATCTTGTAAAGATCCAACCCGATCCAACACCCCAGTATTGGTAAAAGAAGTAACTTATGTTTTCATTATTTGACATAAAATAAAAAGTACAGCGTATAAAACAAAATATGATTCTTTGATTTTGCTGATATTTTTTAATAAGGTAACCAAAAAAATTAATATTATTTAACTTTAGGAACAAAGATGATAAGGTCTCTTTTAATTCATTATAGTGACAAGTAAAAAGGTAGATTAAATCAATGAATTAGTGTAAATATGACAAAGGTATTATTGTATAACAAGACAAGTAGCCGAAACTAGGTAAAAGATGTTCTTTGGCAGACCCTGGCTAAAGCTGGGAAGTTGCCAGGAAGAAAAAGAAGAAAAAGTAGTCAGTGTTCGCCTAGTGGTTAATGGGTCCACCTCTCGGTGCCGAGGGCGCGGGTTCGATTCTGGCCCGAGCAAGTACCAATGTAATTTATCCGAATCATATACATACTTTCTAAGACTATTAAGACCCCACAGACTGGACTTTATAATTTCACAATTATAAGTTTGAAATCACCAACCCATCTTGAGCAAGCGTGGTGATTAACGCTCACATCTTCTCCACGTGAGAAAGAGGCCTTTGCTCAGTAGTGGGCTTTGATAGGCTGATGATGATGATAACAAGACTGCATTAATAAAATATTACATCACTTATTATAAAATATCTGTATATTGAGCACTAATTTATGAAACGATTTTTATTATAACCATAAAATTTTAAATTCCAGGTAAATCTGAAAATATTTGGGATCGGATATCACACATGAAACCTTGTTTTATTGACAACTGTGACATGGGTGATGTCGCTGCTGATTCCTATCATCAATACAAGAGAGACGTGGAAATGATGAGGGAGCTGGGACTCGACTTCTACAGGTTCTCTCTCTCCTGGACAAGAATATTACCAACGAGCTTCCCAGACCAAATTAATGAAAAAGGCGTACAATATTACAATAATTTGATTAATGAGATGCTCAAATACAACATACAACCCATGGTGACTCTTTATCACTGGGATTTACCTCAGAAGTTACAAGATCTGGGAGGATGGTCAAATCCCCATATAGTTGATTGGTTTACCGATTATGCAAGAGTAGTTTTCGAGCTATTTGGAGACAGGGTTAAGTATTGGATAACTGTCAATGAACCTAAACAGGTTTGTTATCATACCAACCCACAATCATCACAAGGTCCATCATATAGTGTTTCTGGATATGGTGATTACTTGTGTGCTAAAAATCTACTAGTAGCGCACGCTAACGTCTACCATTTGTATAATAATGAATTTCGTAAAGACCAGGGTAGTCAGATCGGTATAACAATGAGTGCCCCGTGGGCTGAACCTGAATCAGAAAAGGACATGGAAGCTGCTGAAGATGCAATGCAATTTGAGGTTACTAATTTATATGGCTTTTACCTCGAAAATCAATAAATCTTTATTTATTTTTAAACAAAAAGAGATTATTGAAAAAACTTTGTCATGAAGATACTCTTCTTTTATTTTTGTACTTTATGTGTTCTTTAAGAATAAAATAAGAAACATCTAAAGTAATCCTCAAAAATATAACATTTGCAGTCATTTAATTTATTTTCGTACCTATAAAAGTGTCATCTTAATTTCAGTGGGGACTTTTTGCAAATCCAATATTTTCCGAATCTGGAGATTATCCATCAGTCATGAAAGAAAGGGTAGCAGCGAAGAGTAAGGAACAAGGATTTCAAAGATCACGATTACCACAATTCACTCCGGAGGAAGTAGATTTAATTAAAGGAACCTCAGACTTCTTTGGATTGAACCATTATAGCACTAACATTGTTTATAGAAACGAATCAGTCAATGGGTATTATAGTTCTCCATCTCTTTATGACGATGTTGGAGTGATAAGTTATCAAGAGGATTCTTGGGATTCAGGTGCTTCAGTTTGGTTAAAGGTAAGATAATGAAAGACTTTCCAGTACATAATAATATTCTTTTGTCAGCTTTTATCATATACTTTACCTTGTTAGCGTGTACCCTGGGGATTTTATAAGCTGTTAACAAAAATACGAGAGGACTACAACAACCCGCCAGTTTACATCACTGAGAATGGATTCTCAACCCGAGGTGGTCTAATTGATGACGATCGCATAAAGTATTACAGAACATACTTTGATGCTATGCTCGATGCTATTGAAGATGGATCAGATATAAGAGTTTATGCAGCGTGGAGTTTGATGGACAATTTCGAATGGAAGAGGGGATACAGGTACCTACGTCATTATTTGTACATGTTATCAAAATTATTTTCATTTAAGAGTTGAACACAGGTATGAATATTACCAATAAATTTTTCAGTGAACGTTTCGGACTGTACGAGGTGGACTACGAGAGCCCTGAACGCACCCGTACTCCTCGCAAGTCTGCTTACGTGTACAAGGAGATGCTGCGTACACGGACACTGGACTATCATTATGAACCTGATATGAGCTTGGGAATGAATGTCGATGATAATTAAATAAATAAAAATAGACGTATTAAAGATTTAAATAGATATACTTTTTTTTGAATATTACTAATTGTGATTGTTTCCTTCTTATATCCAAGTTAGTGGTGACCTAGTGGTTAAAGACGCTCCTCTCGTGCACGTTAACGCGGGTTCGATCCATGCAATTACCAATGTGATTTTTCCGAATCATGTACATACTTTCTAAGAGTATTAAGACACCACTGACAGACGGTGAAGGAAAACATCGTGAGGAAAGCTGGAGTTATAATTTCACAATTGGGTTTTTGAAAAAAAAAAAAGTATTGATTTTTTTTATGTATTTTAAAACTTTATTATTAATTATATTGGATTTTTAATGCAAAAAACTTGAAATATATTTTTTAAATTAATTATAAACAATTAAAAATTGATAAAATTCAAAAATATATCACGTGACTGTAAACGCGCCATGATTGGTCAGCATACTTGTGACGTCATAATGTTAAAGCAATTTCATAATAGTACAGTGTTTATGGCTATTATCTTTAACTTGATAAAAATATCTCAAATTTATTAGTGAAAAACGATTTGAAAAGTTTATTTCGACTATGTGTGATAAAGGATTTATAAAAGCAAAATCGGATAATATTCCTGATGTTAATATATTTTTATGATAACTAATTTTTTAAAAAGTGCGGTTTAATTTTGCTGAAGTTCGAGGTGCTAAGACATCAAGGTAAGTCTGTCAAAAAATACTATTCTAAATGAAAATTAGTATTTATTCTCTATTAAATATAATTAATAATTATTTCATTAAATCATTATTAATAAAATGTTATTATAACATTATAAAAAAAACCAAAATAACATATATGTACTTTAAAAATTTAAATGTAGTCTGATACAGAACCTAGAATGTTATAAAATTATGAAAATATCTATTAATTGAAGTCCAATTATTAGACAAACATATATATAGATTTACTATTTAATCGCTTTGAATTATCAATTAAAATTTTTTAATGCTACGATTCTAAAGGTTATGATTTGGAGCCCAGGTAAAAAAATTAATTATTGAACTATACTTATTCGATTTATACACTTAGATAAATAATAGTTAATAACAATACTATTATGAAAACTTACAACGAAATGATCTTCACAACAAAAAAAAATGATTTTGTTTTTGAATAATCTCGATGCACTGCTTGAAACCATTTCTTTCGACGTTTTTCGTCTTGTGGAACATTTAAAAACATTTTTTCAGGAGTTGTTTTTGTAGTCTTTGTACATAATGGTACAAAACTTTTGATTATTTAACAATGCCAACAGTATTTACTAGATAAAAACTCAAAACACTGTACTAATTATTATATCTCTGTATGCTACAATGAGCAAAAACTAACATTGTGACGTCACACGCGCTCGGGTTTATTCACGAGCTGTCGGCTTGTCTTCGGTACTGAATTTAAAATTTAATTTTTATTTTGAAATAACTTTTTAAATATTGCAAAAAAAAAATAAAATAAAAATAGTTTTGTTATTAAACTTATATATGATCTTTCCATTTATCACAAAAAAAAAAATAATTCAAAAACCCAATTATAAATTTGAAATCACCAACCCGTCTGAGGCAAGCGTGGTGATTAATACTCAAACCTTTTACATGTGAGAAGAGGCCTTTGTTCAGCAGTGGGCTCTGATAGACTGATGACGATGACGACTTCCTATATGTATAATTATGTATTGATAAAAAATAATTTAAATGTAATAATATTATACAACTTTTTTTTTGTATCAACTGAAAAATTTGTAGCAGCAAAGTATGCAATAAAACTTAACTTAAATTTATTAAATTTAGATACTAATCGAAGAATCTTTCAATAAGTTATTTATTTCAACATGTTAACAAAATAATATTGTCACTGATCGCCTTCCAGTCTTATTATTACTAATTTGACTAATCATTCAAATACTGTATTACTTTAAAAAGCAGTATTTTGACAAAATTTAACAGAATATTTTTCTATAAAGGTCTTTTTACGTTATATACGTACGTACGTAGAACGCATATATATGTGTAATCTTTTTACAGTGCTAGAATTGATGTCGATATTCGTAGTGTCATATAATATTTTGATAAAAACAACCATTACAAATTTAATTTTCCAGAGCAAATTTTACAAAAATAGCTCATAGTCACAAAGTTTTTATCTTACTATATTCAATAAGCTATTATTTCTATAAAATTAAAATATCCCTTGATCCTATATGTATATCCCACGTACGTCACTTGTTAGCTAATGCGACCCAATTTTGTATATCGTTGATTGCACAAATTTGCCACAAAAAAGCTTTCTTTTCAGTTTACTAGGTGTTACGATCAAAATCGTGTTGATAATTTATTGGCATAATTATGCTTAAGTTATGAGTTAAGAAAAGTATACCTTATTTTTAATGTCAAATATTGCGTTACTGTGGCTACAAAGAATCAGGGGTGGGAACTGACATTTGAGTTTTGACAATATATAAATTAACAGTTTATCAGCCATATGACATATCTATAGAGCAGGAATTAATATTAATGTCTTGTTAAGACATTTAAACAGACATTACAGCGTGGTGGGACGCTTGATTTATCTAACAGACCATCAAACGCCTTAACAAGACTTTATTAATTTAACATTATTTGGTGAAAATGGATCTTAATATAAATACATAACTATTTTCTGCATACAAGAGGAGTTTTAAAGCGACGTAATTGTGTAAAGAATAAACAGCGAGTAATACTGAATACGGTCACATTGATTATAATGAGGCGCTAATAGCAGCCACCCCAAAATACTTTTAAACACTTAATAATGTTATGAAGTCATTATAAATGTCCCAAACACTTTCTTATCGTATATAAGTAAGAATTTAACATAGTACGTTTAATAGTTTTATGCGCAGAGTCCCTATGTGATGCTCACTTGTATGTATGATGAGTCACTATTTACCATACTGTTCCAATTTATGTACCTGTATTTCTAATAAACAGGCATGAAGAACTGCGTAGACTTGTTTAATCTAGCATCCTAAATTGTACTTAGGTCATAATTTTAAATCATGAACACCGGAAATGTCTTTTGTTTCGACAAGATTGTATCGTTTTTGTTGAATGCATATGATAATTAATCAACCAACGCGGTACATGTAGCTAAAAAAAGAAAAAACTAAACATATCGTCCTAATTAGAAATAGATTACAATCAAATATTTAACCTGTAAGATTATAAAACACATATTGCACGGACATCTCTTAGTACACTTAGGAAGCTTCAGAGCACAACGATGTGTCTTTTGCATTGAAGGCGGACGTGGCGAAAAGTTTGAACAGTTTCTGGAAATAAAATGACTTTCCGCTGGTTTTTTTCAAACTGGCTTTGCTTTTTTTCTTACTTTAACTGAAAAATCAATATAATCAAATTTTATGGCAATACTAATATTAAAAGGCTTACAATCTTAACAGAGGTTTTCAATTTTTTTATAGATATAAATATAACAAAAGCTAAATTTGAAATTTAAAAAGGGAAACTTAAACATTGAAAATATTAGTTGTTACATATATGAAGCATAATATTTGTAAGGAATAATTCTAAAGCATTCCATCTTTGCTATCACCGATAAAATATCGTGATGTCATACTATCTTACAATGTCTGAATCATTTAAGTCTGTTATTTAAACTCTTAGGGATACTTCTGATAAAAAGTAATAAATAAAATATTTTTTCATGAAGTCATAATGACAATAATATAATTATACAATGTCTAGGTAATCCAATGTACTATTGAATTTGGTTAATTTCTGAAATTAATCATCCCAAACTTACGTAAACACTAAACTAAATTAGATAAGGGTTTTCCTGGTATTACTTATATAAATGTTATTTTATAGTTTCTATTATTTTAATAATATAAATGACAAATATCGTACAAAATGATAATGACAGAAAAAAAGCTTGTTAATGAGCTCAATTAATTCACAGGCACTTTTACTAGAGCATTTGCAGTCTAAAATAAAATGTATAAAATTTTAATATTTATTGATAGTAAATGGAATGTGAAAAAGTAATGAATTACAGCGTTGGTGCTTTCTTTTGCTGATAAATCTCAGAGTGATTGACCATCCAAAATATATTATATAATATTTAATTAAAATCTAATAAATAAGAAATTATAGCGTAATGATGTAATGACCAAGCCACCTTATTGCCCACATAATATGCATATAGCACCGTGCAGAAAAACAATGTTTTTCTAAATATTTTTACTAAATATCAAAAAAATATTATTTGATACCTTATTTAAAAAACACCAGTCATTGTCGATAATACAAAGAGGAGTTAGAATATACACCACAATCAATTGAGATAAAGATAAAAAACTATTTTAATACCTGTTCAGTCACAGTAGGAGGTGTAAAACGAAAATGCTCGGCCTTGTGCGATTCACGTGAGTTGTATATTCCTTTATAAATATATAATTAAAATGTATCGATATTTAAATTATGTATTTGCACCCATATAGTAGTAGCAATTTGTTTATAATTTTAACCTTAATTTAAGAATAATTTTAATATTCAATACTTTCAGAGATTATTAAATAGCCCACCGCGAGGAAAACATTATTTGTCAGGGATTTCATTTTTTTTTATTAAATATATTTTTATTTAAGTCACCATGTGGATTACTATGGAGATCGTTATTTTCGACGATATTTAGATATTATTATTTTATGTACAATATTTTCTGTTGATCTTTCAGTATTGGATTTCATAACACATCCAATACAAGAAATATGTGGTATTGATGAAAAAACTTTTTTTGAAGGAAATTGTATATTTCTACTAAATATTTTCACTATTATGAGTGACCTTCACTTTTTTCCTCTTTCCTCTTGATAATCGACAACACTAAAGAGATGAAATCTACATATTTCAGACGACCTTACAGTTTAGAGAAATTAAAATGACTTTAATTTCATATTTTTATCACTTCCAGTTTCCTGGCTTTCGTTTTGGCTGTGCTTGTCGATAGCAAAGAAATCTCTCGACATGAAGCCAGAAAAATACCCGATCACTTACTTTTCGGAGCATCTACGGCTGCGTACCAAATAGAAGGGGCTTGGAACGAAGATGGTAATCGACATAATATAACTAATTAAATTTTAGTACACCATATCACATTTTAAAACATATTTTACGATTTTTATGCAACAATTATTTTTATATTATTATTACCCTTGGCATCATGATCAAAATACAGTATATACACACAATACGATATTTCATGTCTCCGGGAAAGTAAGCTGCTTTCAAAAATATATGACTTTTAAATTAAATCACTAACAAGTATTACAATGTTGTCTTATAAAGGATAACTTAAATAAAACCAAATTTATAATAACAATAAACTTTTAAAGGACAACTTAAAAGTTTATTTGTGCCATAACATCATGAAAATTCAGATAGATAGCACATTACAGGAGCTTGCAAATGTACATACTTTATTACATGCCAGATTTTACAGGTTTTTTATAAATATAAAATAACAATGTGATCTTTTTTTATAATATATGTTATGTTTGAGTGGATTGCTTTGTCGTTTTAACAAGCAATAAACAATATTTTTTGTGTGTGAATTTATCGCAACAATAATTCGGCCACCATTGTAAGACGTGAATTTAGAGGGTATCGCAATTTTGACAATCCTCGTGTTAAAACTATAAGGAATATGGTTAAATACCCAGAATAAACTAGCTCTACGTTGGAAAAATAACGATCGACTCGACCAAGAATATCACGAACGGACGAAAACATCCTACTCAATCCACTCATACTAAAAAATTCAGTTACATACTACAAGAATTAAAAGATACTTCTCCTACCAATAAACCCAATTCGGTGAATGAAATGATGAAGCGCTCTATTTCTTTTCACAACGTATTATTTCTAACTTTTTGATTTTCTAATGAGGCTCATTTTCACATAAACGGCAAATTGAATAGAAATGGCCACTACTGTAGTAGCATAACCCCACATCGCAAACATTAAAGGCAATTTTAACAAGATGGTGCTACTGCCCATAACTCTAACACCGCTATATCCGTCATCCGTCAACTTTTCCCTAACAAAGTGATATCTCGAAGATTAGACATTCCTTGGTCAACAAGTATCTCGAATTTCAGTCTAGTAGACTCTTCCTTATGGGGTTACCTTAGTGTAAAGTCTACAAACCAAATCCTACGTTAATTGATGAACTTAAAGAAAGGTGATACAAAATTTATGTCGTTATTAAAAGGAAATCGAAGAAGGAAATGGAGCACTTAAAATGAAGTGGTTTTTAAAGATAATGCCCTTTTAATGTAAATTAGGAAACCATAAATAAATATTTCATAGAGTACATATATAGTTGTTTTTTCTTATATTTGTTTTAATTCAAATGACTTTTTGGAGACCCAGTATAAATATTTAGATTATTATGTTTAATACTAACATATATTTTAAAATTTTAGGTAAAGCAGAAAATATTTGGGATCACTTGTCACACCAGAAACCTTGTGTTATTCACAACTGTGATACGGGCGACATTGCCGCTGATTCTTATCATCAATACAAGCGAGACGTAGAAATGATAAGGGAGCTGGGACTCGACTTCTACAGGTTCTCTCTCTCCTGGACAAGAATATTACCAACGAGCTTCCCAGACCAAATCAATGAAAAAGGAGTACAATATTACAATAATTTGATAAATGAGCTGCTCAAATACAACATACAGCCCATGGTGACTCTGTATCACTTTGATTTACCTCAGAAGTTACAAGATCTGGGAGGATGGAACAATCCCCACATAGTTGATTGGTTTACCGATTATGCAAAAGTAGTGTTTGAATTATTTGGAGACAGGGTTAAGTATTGGATATCTTTTAATGAACCTCGAGAAATATGTTCTCACTCTACCCAAGACCCACCACAAGGTTCATCTTATAGTGTATCTGGGTATGCTGATTACATGTGTGCTAAAAATTTACTAGTAGCGCATGCCAACGTCTACCATTTGTATAATAATGAATTCCGTAAAGTCCAAGGTGGTCAACTCGGTATAACAATAAGTTCCGCGTGGCATGAACCTGAATCAGAAAAGGATACACAAGCTGCTGAAGATATCAGACAATTTGAGGTTACTTTGAATTATTTTTTTATTTGGCTCAAAAACAAGTATTTCTTGTCCCTTATTTTTGTAATTAAAAAATAAAATTATACGGAGACTTATTGTTTTGGTCTTTTTAAGTAAATTTAAAAGTATCATTAATATTTCAATTATATTTATAATTTATTTTTTCTTGTAGAACTTTGATTTCACTTTAAAAGTATAATTTTGATTTCAGATGGGAATTTTTGCAAATCCAATATTTTCGGAATCTGGAGATTTTCCGTCAGTCGTGAAAGAAAGGATAGCAATGAAGAGTAAGAAACAAGGATTTCCAAGATCTCGATTACCACAACTGTCCCCGAAGGAAGTTGATTTAATAAAAGGAAGTTTTGACTTCTTTGGATTGAATCATTATACAACTTATATCGTTTATAGAAATGAATCAGTCCATGGACATTACAGTTCTCCATCTTTCAATGATGATGTTGAAGTTATGACTTATCAAGAGGGTTCCTGGGATTCAGGTGCTTCATTGTGGATGAAGGTAATAAAAAAAATACATTCTGCTAAACAATAAAATTCATAAGTCAGCTTTTCAAATTTATTTAACCTTTTTAGCGTGTACCCTGGGGATTTCATAAATTATTAACAAAAATACGGGAGGACTACAACAATCCACCAGTTTTCATCACTGAGAATGGATTCTCAACCCGAGGTGGTCTAATTGACGACGACCGAGTTAAGTATTACAGAACATACATTGATGCCATGCTCGATGCTATTGAAGATGGATCAGATATAAAAGGTTATGCAGCGTGGAGTTTGATGGACAATTTCGAATGGGTGATGGGATACAGGTACATTATCCTTTTATTTTCTTATTAAAGTTTCCAGAATTAAAAGTTATAAATGAACTTGAATAACAATAACTATTTTATAACTCGAATAACAAAAAAATTTTAGTGAATGTTTTGGTCTGTACGAGGTGGACCACGAGAGTCCTGAACGCACCCGCACTCCTCGCAAGTCAGCTTACGTGTACAAGGAGATGCTGCGGACACGGACACTGGACTATCATTATGAACCTGATATGAGCTTGGGAATGAAAATCGATGATAATTAAATTAATTTAAATAGGACTAGAATGTGTTAAACAATTAAACTGATAAATAAACTGATTATTGATATAACAGATTCTGTTTACCTTTCATAGCGTCACTTTATAGACAAATAATATACAAGAAACCTATTCACTTGCGTCAAATCTTTGACAGGACTGTAATTTATATTGATGGTACTCAAAGCTTCTTATTAAATTTTCATTGAATGCAAATTGTTGTCACAAAATTTCAGTCCTCGCCATCTCCTCTAACTGAATCTAACGGGATATTAGGCCACGGAGCGAAGTAGACAATAACACTGTTCTCCAGACCCTATCATATCACCAACATTTCCTCCATCACGTGCACGGAAGTTTGGGTAGCGAGCTCAGAATGTATGATTATATTTGACTGTTTTTGTTTTTGCATCATGAGCTCAGTGCTCGGTGATCACACCTAAAATTATGTTGTACAATTTAATGTTGGTATTAAATACCAACATTAAATTGAAACAATGCTTTATCGGTATATTTACTAAGAATAAAACAATGAATTTAATTATTGAATGGCTGAAGTGATATAACGATATTTGTAAAGATTTTTTCTTAGCTCAATCCAGTTTTCCTCTCGTCTAATCTGAATTCTTAATAATTCTAATAAGAAATATTAACTCAAACTTTTAATTAATTCATATAACTAAATCAAACCTAATAATTAAAGACTGACATTTTCACTTACTCTGTTTTCACGCTGCTTTATTTGAATTTTTTATCTTAATGAACGTTTATTTATTTTAAAAAATCCACCAACGAATGTCATTATAAGTTATTTTACATATTTATAACTAATATTGTGCCCGCTAATAGAAATTCTCAGTATTTTTATGCTATAGGGTTCAACCAAGCACACGGATTACCTGATGGAGATAGTAACCTCCATCAGGTAATCCGTGATGGTACTCCATGAAGTCACCCATGAACATCTGAAACATAGTTTTGCGGATGTTTTGATATACTTGATTGGGGAAGAGGGGGACTAAAAGGTGGGAAAGGGTGGAAAAACAGAATGGGTAGGTAAGGATGGGAAAACGGAATTGAAACCGGCTCTCTCACTCATCGGACAAAATGCAGCTATTAAAGACTACTTCACGCCGATCTTCAGTGACCACGTGGTACTTCCCCGGTTGAGCCAGTCCATGTTCGAGCTGCAATTACTTGACCACAGCTAGACTCTACACCATTTGTAGTTGCTTATTTCATCTCACCCAACAAAATCTAGACTAGAATATTTATTCGTGAAAACTGTCAATTAGTTGTACATAATACTATTAAGAGTTGTTGTATTACGAATATAAAAACATATAATAATTGCGATGAACAATATTGTGAATTATGGCTATAGTATTCGAACATTATTTAGGCGAACGTATAAGCAAAATTATATGACTATGTCATTGCATTATTATTATACTTTCACAATTTTTTCTCTTAAAAAACAATCCTTAAACGTTATATTTACAAAATCTAATTGTGTTCATTGTTACATAATATTTGAAGGAAAATATACATGCTCCATCAAAGGTACTTACTATTAAATTAACAAAATAACAAATTGTTGGACAGATTATCCGATTTATATTGTTGTTAAAATTGCAGGACAAAATTACCGACACAAAAAGTCTAAATTGCTTTAAAAAAAAAAAACAAATCTTTATAAACAAGTTATATTCTTCGTAGCCACTTGCAATACTTATTAAATAGTTTAGATTTTTCTTTATTAGTTTTCATTTTAAACCATACAACTATAAAATAGTCTACTGTAATCTACTGTCACTAGACAGTAGACAATAGATTAATAGTTAATCTAAGTTCTTCTTTACTTTGCGCAAACTAATGGTTTGCGGCGTTAATAGATAACTCCTTTTTGCTATATCTGACAGATAGTAAAAGTTCAAAATTAAATTAATTTTGAATGAAGAATATAATATTTAAAAAGTAATAAAGCAAAAACAGCTGTAGTAAAACGCGTCGAAGACGAATTTACACAGTCCATATTAGCAAATACATAATACTGGAATGACGAACATTTGATAAAAAATTGGCTCCTAAATACCTTAATTATACTCTATAATTTATTCTTGATACTAAAAAGAAGTTAAAACACAAAAATTTTGTTATTCCTTCTACAGTGTTCAAAGCGGTTATGTGAACGCCAGTGAGGTTTTGCCAAATTACTTTTACCTTCGTAAAATATCTTTTACATAAAAATATCTAAATCATATACATATCTGTTTCCAAAAATTTGCAATGGGTCAAAAAGTAACATTAAGTTTACCGTAATTTTAAAGCAAATTATACATTTTTTTAAATAATTTTAAACATTATGATCGACCTTCAAATTTATTTCTGACACATGTTTTAAAACACATTAAGCGGGGTTTTATGTAATTTTTATTACTTGTTGCGTTTAAGGCTCTTGATAAAACACACAGTAAACACAAAGTAAGGAAAAGACGTTGCTGTTTTTGGAAATTACGTTTGATTAAATAAAATTCATTTTTAATTGAAATTTAAAACAATTATTCACAATATTATATTATGAATAATTGTTTTTTGGGTATAGTTGTTAATTTAATATTGTTAGGTGTGGATTACTCCTCCTCTAGAATTGAAGTGAAGAAATCAAGTGTAAAGTGACGTCATATCATTTTAGATAAACAATAGACAATAAGTGATAATGTCACTTCAGTTAGAGGTGTCAAGTGGATATGTTGGGTGTCATAAGATTAGTGTAAGTTTTTTAAGATCTACTTTATTAGGAAGGTTATCGTATTATATATTTTACACATTATCAAAATGCTAGCTGATAAAAAATAAAACAAAACTTAAAAAAATTGCCGAAATGTCAATAAATGTTGATAATAAGAATAATGATATTTATTTTTATCGTTTTTTTGTTTTACTTATTATTAACATCAACCCATGGTGACTCTTTATCATTGGGATTTAACTCAAACGTTAAAAGATAACTGATAATAGGCCTATCCTTATATAGTTGATTTGTTTACTGATTATTCAACAATAGTGTTTAAGTTATTTAGTGATATGGTTAATTATTGGATAACTATCAATCAACCTCGAGAGGTTTGTGTTCAGGGTTACGAATTACCATCTATGGCTCACCTTTATACCTTCTGAATATTTTAGGATATACTGAATACATATTTAACAAAAATTTTGTATTATGTCATGTATAACATCTATTATTTGTATAAGAATGAATTCCGTAAAGCCAAGAGTGGCCAGATAAGTATACATGAGCATTCATTGATACGAACCTAACTCATAAAATTCTGTTGAACCTGCTGAACCTTTCTACAATTTGAGTTGATTTTAACCTATAGAAAAATACATATATGTTTCCGGTATGTTGGATACCGGAAACATATATGTAATTAGGTTTTGTTGCGAAAATCCTAATACACGATTTTAAAATATTCAGTACAGAAGAAACACATTACTTCATTGTTAATCTGGAATATATCTGGATAATGGATAATCTGGAATCATTACACAGTTACTAGCATACATAGCTACATACATATATGTCATATATGTATTATATAGTCAGACGGAGATAACTTTCTGAATTTTTAATTTAGGAACACAAAAAACAAGATAGCTTTCAATGTCGTTAAGAGAAGTTTTTAAGAATAAAATTAAAGTAGGACGTAAACTTGCTGCTACTTTTACAATCCTTTCATTTCATTCATTAAATATGAAACTAAGTCTAAAATAATTATCAATGTTGCAATGTACGTGAATTGTAGTTCAAACAGAGGCTATTTTTAATCAAGCTTTGTATTTATAATAATTATTGATAGTAACAGTATCATATTTTATATATAGAGTATCTTTTTGAGACCGTCGTGAGCTGTTTCATTGTAGAGTTACGAAATGTAATGCTCTAAATTAATACTTAGAGATAAAAATAAGATAAAACCAATTCATATCATTATAGATATGAAAAATAAAACGTGAATTGATAGTGTCACATCAGTCACCGTTGTTAAGTGAAGATGTTCGGCGTGGTCAGATTAGCGTGAGTTTGGGGTTATTTAGTGGTTATCGTTCAAAATAATAATAGATATGTAATTACTTTTATGAATCATCAGAAGGACGAAAGAAATGAAGTCAAACTATGTTTATGATGATAATAACTTGACCGCTATTGTTTTCGACTTTATCAACGAATTTATAAGAATTCAATTTATGTTTTTAATGTTATAGTAAAATTATTTTTTATATTATTTCTGTTAATACTATTTTTATCTTTATAGTTGTCTGGCATCAATTTTAGTTGGACATATTGATGGTACAGAATTTCGTAATGAGTCAAGGAAATTCCCACCTCACTTTCTTTTCGGTACTGCTACAGCGGCGTACCAAATAGAAGGGGCTTGGAACGAAGATGGTAACGCAAGAATATTAGAAATTTAAATCATATTATTATATAAGCTACTGCCCCGACTTTAAGTCTGTATTTATTTGATTGAATAACATATCTTGAAAAGAAGCTTTTTAAAAGCAGATATATTATAAGTATATTGTTCTGTTTTTATATATCAACAAAAAATGCATCTTTCATAAATAGACCCGAAATAAAATTAATGACTGGAATTATTATATAATTTTTAACATAGATAGCCATAAAGGAGAAACTTTCTTGAAAATAGAGGAGGATTTTTTACCCTTCCAGTACTGTAGTTAAATATTAACATATGGAATATTGATGAATACTCAGTAACCTGAGTATTTATGATCAATATTCCAATGACAACGATTATGACCTAATATTTAAATGTCACGTAAATTTATTTGCCATATAAAGGAACTAGTTTGAGAATTATGTCATCATTAATTGAACATTTATTTAAAATAAGTCCATAAACTTAAATAATATTGGGAATTCATTGTAACTTTTAACTTATTTTCGATAAGATTTTCATGGGAAGAAACAGTAAGGATCGACAAGTATTATTCATTATAAACATAACATTAAAATTTTAGGTAAATCTGAAAGTATATGGGATCGCGTCGCACACATGAAACCTTGTGTTATAGCAAATTGTGACACAGGCGACGTCGCCGCCGATTCTTATCATCAATACAAGCGTGACGTGGAAATGATGAGGGAACTAGGTCTCGACTTTTATAGGTTCTCTCTCTCCTGGACGAGAATATTACCAACGAGTTTTCCAGACAAAATCAATGAAAAAGGAGTGCAATATTATAATAATTTGATAAACGAAATGCTCAAACACAACATACAACCCATGGTTACTCTTAGTCACTTTGATATACCTCAGAAGTTGCAAGATCTAGGAGGTTGGATCAACCCTTATATAGTTGATTGGTTTACCGATTATTCAAGAATAGTATTTAAGTTATTTGGTGACAGGGTTAAGTATTGGATAACTCTCAATGAACCTCGAGAGGTTTGTCAGGGATACGCAATGCAATCTATAGCACCACTTCTGAATTATTCTGGATATACTGATTACATATGTGCCAAAAACTTACTTTTAGCTCATGCCAATGCCTATCATTTGTATAATGATGAATTTCGTGAAGTCCAGGGTGGTAAGATCGGTATAACATTAAGCGCACAGTGGTATGAACCTCAATCAGAAAAAGAAGTGCAATCTGCAGAGGACTTCCTACAATTTGAGGTAATTTTATTAACACTTACAATATTTTTGATTTAGTACTAAAAATGTTTAATTACATAAATCAACATATAATATTACTTTTATTTGCATTTTATATCAGTATAGACATCGTAGATGACCACTAAAGACAATTTTAATGATAACTTTAACTTTGGCTAAGTTTTTGTGTAGAAAACAACAGAAACATCAGAAGGAATACTACTACATCTAATTCAAGGCCCAAGAAATACAAAAGATGAAGCTCAATCAAAATTAATAGTATAATTTTTTATTTAAAATATGTTTTAGGTGGGTATTTTTGCTAATCCAATATTTTCAAAACGGGGCGATTTCCCGTCTGTCGTTAAGGAAAAAGTAGCAGCAAAGAGTCAGATTCAAGGGTTTCCACGATCACGACTACCAGAATTAACCCTTGAGGAAATTGATTTTATCAAAGGAAGTTCTGATTTCTTTGGATTGAACCATTATACTACATTTTTAACTTATGGATTAAAGTTTCCAATAGACTATCCTACATACTATTATGCTGATGTCGAAGTCATACCTTATCAACCTGATGAATGGACCTCAAGTTCTTCAAAGTGGTTGAAGGTAAACGAAAACATTTTACTCCTACGTAACGTTTATTAACCAGATTCTTTTACATCTTAGTTTTATTGTTTTAGGTAGTACCCTGGGGATTTTATAAAATCCTAACTAAAATACGAGAGGAATACAATAATCCACCTGTTTTTATAACTGAAAATGGTTACGCAGCTCCTCGTGGTCTGATAGACGACGACCGTATCAACTTTTATAAATTATACATGAATGCTATGCTCGATGCTATGGAAGAGGGAAGTGACGTAAGGGCATACACTGCGTGGAGTTTGATGGATAATTTCGAATGGATGAGTGGATACTCGTATGTTATAAAATTATCATGATATAAAACGTAGAAAATGTTTGAATTGCACTGGAAAAATAATAATATTTATTTTAGCGTACGTTTCGGACTGTACGAGGTGGACTACGATAGTCCCGAACGCACCCGCACTCCTCGCAAGTCAGCTTACTTCTACAAGGAGGTGCTGCGTACACGAACACTGGACTATCATTATGAACCTGATATGAGTTTGGGAATGAATGTCGATGATAACTAACTGAAACAGAAAGTGAAGTGAAAAATATATTAAAATAAATTAATAAACGAATTTTTAACTATTATTTTTGTCTGATTCAATAATTTTCAATATCATAACTATCCTAATTTATTTCCTTACTCTCCAAGTCAGTTGATCACAATTTAAAAAAAGTCTTACAAAATTTTTTGTCCAAAAAGAATACTATTATTTGTAATGTTTGGTTTGGAAGAGAAACAAAATAGCAAACATTTAAGGTAAAGCGGTCTTAAATTTCAGTTTTACAAGTCAAATAACATATTTTTATTAGTCTTTAGATATGTGATAAATATGTGCATTTTACTACATGTCCATAACTCTCCGCTCATAGATAGTTGCCAACAGAGTGATTGTATAACCTTTAATATGTCAAGCACCCCACGTTTTTCACTCTGAATTTAATCATTCTGTTTGTAACTTAAATTTTGTTTTATTTTTATCTTGAAGTAATTAACTATGATTGATTGTTTATTCTTCTGCTACGTTAATATAAACTCTTTGTCATTAAAAAATATTTGTAAGTTTTTAGTTCGGTTTGCTATAAGAGCGTGTTTTTAAAACTATTATTTATTGTAAGTATTTTTTAAAGGGAAGAAAATGTCGCAACCATTATATGAAATTCGTATCTAGTGCATGTTCCAGCCGACGCAAACGGTTCGTATACGAGTGTAACCGCTATGGTGGTCTAAGGCAGATTGAATTTGATTTTTGTGTCTATTCCTCCCCCATTCTGCTTTTCACTGACCCCAGGAGGTGTCTATCGTTGGGAAGTAGATTATGACAAATGTCAAATAAGTTTTGGAACATTGCGTTTAATTTGGAAACACAGAAAAACGAAAACAGCTTTGTAAATTTAATCCTTTGATCCTTGATGACAAGGACTCTTTTCTATTATTTCACAACGAATTGTTATTTTCATGAGCTAATTTCACTCTTAATTTCTTAAACCTAAGATTTACACTACTTTAACATAATTATCTTCATCTACAATTTATAAGTATAAATTGAAAGTCGTAACTTTGTTTGGTTTAGTTCTTTAGGATTTGACAGCATACATTTTATTAAAAGAAATATTTATGCATTTTGTAACTTAGCACTTTTGAAAATGAAAGAGTATAGAGATAACAAAATCTAATTCATCTGATTGAAAGATAAAAACGAACAAAAAAAGACACATTTCATAATAAATATCAAAAATAAACAGTAAAATGATAAGGTCACTTCAGTTATAGATGTTACGTGAAGATGTGTGGAGCAGTGAGATTAGCGTGAGTTTTTTTTATTTTGTACAGAATAATCATCCTTTTTATGTACATCAGACATAAATTCCTAAAATATAAAAAGAGACATAAAACAAAAAAATACAAAAGTGCAGAAAAGATGTTGATGTAGAAATTTCCTCTCAATATTTGCATTGATTTTTTAATTCCAATATAAACTAAAATAATTAAACATGTATAAAGTTAAAAAAATACATTTTATTTACACATACTCATTAAATTTCATATAAATATACATAAATTTAGAACCGGGATGAAACGATATGACAATTTATTTTTTTTACATAATAATCCTGTTTATCTGTCCTTTCTTTTGTAGTTTTCTGGCCTCAATTTTAGCTGGACATGTTGATAGCACAAAAAATTTCCAAAATGAATCAAGGAAATTTCCTGATTACTTCCTGTTTGGTGCTGCTACCGCGACGTACCAAATAGAAGGGGCTTGGAATGAAGATGGTAACTACTAGAATATTCCAAATTGTTATTAGATTTATTGTTGTAGCACTTATTGCCCACTTTTAAAGCCTGGCTTTGAAGTTCCAATCTGAAAGTGCTGTCGAAAGCAAGGAGACGATGAACGTCTAAGCGCTTAGCCAGAGGAAAACACTAATCCTTTATTTACTTCATACTGTAGTTCATACCATAAAATATGATGATGATGATTCTACTGTGTTTTGAATTTTGTTTTAATTAATTTATTGAAAATTACCATTAAACAGTGCTTGGAAAGTTATAATATAATAATTATAGATGTAAATACTAAATATATTATATTTCACATTTACTATTCTTTATAACTTATTCACACAAATTCACATTTCTACATTTTTTCCATAGACAACACCTTACATATTCTCCTTAAAATAAATCGATAAACGTAAAAGAAGTTATTGTTCCGCATGGACATTGGAGTTAAGCAATCATACAAAAATAGATGTCACATATTTATAATTTCATTACAAGCATTGAATATTATATTTCAGGTAAATCTGAAAGTATATGGGATCGCGTCGCACACATGAAACCTTGTGTTATAGCAAATTGTGACACAGGCGACGTCGCAGACGATTCTTATCATCAATATAAGCGTGATGTGGAGATGATGCGGGAACTAGGACTTGACTTCTACAGGTTCTCTCTATCCTGGACAAGAATATTACCAACGAGCTTCCCAGACCAAATTAATGAAAAAGGAGTGCAATATTATAATAATTTGATTAATGAAATGCTCAAACACAACATACAACCCATGGTTACTCTTTATCACTGGGATTTACCTCAGAAGTTGCAAGATCTGGGAGGTTGGGCCAACCCTTATATAGTTGATTGGTTTACCGATTATGCAAAAATAGTGTTTAAATTATTTGGTGATAGGGTTAAGTATTGGATAACTATTAACGAACCTCGAGAAGTTTGTGGTCAGGGATATGGAATGCAAACTATGGCACCACTTTTGAATTATTCTGGATATGCTGATTACATATGTGCTAAAAACATACTTTTAGCTCATGCCAATGCCTTTCATTTATATAATAATGAATTTCGTGAAAGTCAGGGTGGTCAGATAGGTATAAGTCTCAGTGCTCATTGGTACGAACCTGAGTCAGAAAACGAAGTTGAATCCGCAGAAGTCTTTCGACAATTTGAGGTAATTTAAGTTATACTTAAATAACATTTTTCTATCAATGTTACAAAGGGCTTTATTGTATTAACTAACATTTTATAATATTTTGTGATGTAGGTTCTTTTTTTGAGTTTTTCTGCTCAAAAGAATTCTTTTAAACCTAGGTTTTCTTAGCTTTTCCCTTCAAAAAATATTTAATCAATTAAAAATCATTCAATCTAAAATTATACTTGCTAAGAAAAAAAAAGTAGTTGTCAGTGCTAATTTCGTAAAATTTTATAGGTGGGTATTTATGCCAACCCTATATTCTCAAAAATGGGCGATTTCCCGTCAGTCGTTAAGGAAAAAGTAGCGGCAAAAAGTCAGATTCAAGGCTTTCCACGATCGCGACTACCAGAACTAACTCCTGAGGAAATTGATTTTATTAAAGGAAGTTCTGACTTTTTTGGATTGAACCATTATACTACATTTTTAACTTATGGATTAAAGTTTCCAATAGACTATCCTACATTTTATTATGCTGATATCGAAGTCTTACCTTATCAACCCGATGAATGGACCTCAAGTTTTTCAAAATGGATGAAGGTAAACGAAGACATCTCACTTCTAAGTCATTATCATTAACAAGATTCTATTACATCTTAGTTTTACTGTTTTAGGTAGTACCCTGGGGATTTTATAAGATGATAACTAAAATACGAGAGGAATATAATAATCCACCGGTTTTTATTACTGAAAATGGTTACGCATCTCCTCGTGGTCTGATAGACGACGACCGTATCAACTTTTATAAATTATACATGAATGCTATGCTCGATGCTATGGAAGAGGGAAGTGACGTAAGGGCATACACTGCGTGGAGTTTAATGGATAATTTGGAATGGATGAGTGGATACACGTATGTTATAAAATTATACCCATATCAAAAGTTTGAAGGCATGTAAATAATACTGACTAATATTTCAGTGAACGTTTCGGTTTGTACGAGGTGGACTACGAGAGTCCTGAACGCACCCGCACTCCTCGCAAGTCTGCTTACTTCTACAAGGAGATGCTGCGCACACGGACACTGGACTATCATTATGAACCTGATATGAGCTTGGGAATGAATGTCGATGATAACTAAGAAAGTGTACTATTTGAAAATATAAGAGAATGACAGATTTTTAAATAATATTATTGTCTAATTTCTTCAATTCTTATGTCACTGTTGCTATAATCATTTACCAAAATTCCGTGACTGTTATCCACATTCCACAGAAAACACGATTTTTAATAATTCTTACACTACTCTATGTAAGTAATAACTAAACTTCACCTTCCAATTCTATCTCATCATCAGCCTACCAGAGACCACTGCTGAGCAAAGGCCTTTTCTCACATGTAGAAGTTTTAAGCATTAACACCACGCTTGTTCAAGAAGGGTTGGTATTTCAAAAATATAATTTGAAATAACATGTCTGGTTTTCTCACGACATTTTCCTTTACCATGCGTCAGTGCTGTCTAAACACTCTTACAAAGAACATATGACTCGTAATAATCACATTGGTAATTGATAGGGTTCGAACCAGTGCCCTTATGCACGAGAGGCGGGCTTTTAACCTTTAACCACCACGACCTTCTAACTACGTAGCTTTAATTGTTTTAGTGATCCGTATTTGAAATTTTAAAAGTTTTTTTAAATTCATATTAGTTATATTTTTCTTACGAAATTAGAATGGTTAAGGTTTTTATTTCTAATATCAGGAAAGGTAATAAATCCCAATATTCAATGAAAACGTTAAAGAAGTTATTATTAATCAGAAAAAAGGTTCTATAAACATAATACCTGTAGTATTTGGTGAAGTTCTTGCACCAATGCTAGTCAGCTCCTGAGGTGAGTAGTAGTAGTAGAGTAAACGGTGTCAATGGGCGGGACGCAATTGACAGGACGCACATCAGATAAGTGACCAGATATAAATCTCCAAATGACTAAAGTACAATTAGCCTTACTTAATCTCATGTGTAAATTATTACATTATATATTAGAAATTTAATGAGGAAACAAATCTAAAATAGCCTTATTTTTCTTTATAAT